GGCATCGTTTCTTTTTTGTAATCTTTTTTAATGTTGACTAGGAGATAGGTTGATTTTTCTTTAGCCTTCATTGCGTCGCTATGTAGGGCAGTGTATATATTACGCTAACATTATATACGTTTAGTATGTGTGTTTTTTATATATTCAATAAGTTGTTAATTTTTATTAGAATTTTTGTAGATTATATTTTATTATTTATTACGTATATATACCTTGATACTCAGCACATTGAATTAACTTAAAATTTAAATTTATCTACTGTGTGAATTACATAGAGATAAATTAAAACATAAAATACATCAATGACGCTACAACCTCTTTAGGTCTTGGCGTCAGATTTCTGAAACTATTTCATGATCATTTTTAAATCTAATAGGCAAGTAGGTGATCAGCCTCCAGTGCCTGACACACGCCGTCGACTTTTAGGGTCTAAGACATGTAGGTTTGCTCACGATGTTTTCCTTCACCGTTCGAGCAAATTTTAAATGCGCACATAGAAAGAAAGTCCATTGGTGCACAGCCGGGAATCGAACCTGGCCACGCCAACACTGCTCTAAAATTAGCATCAAATAATGAAATTAAAACATAGAGAGATAATAAGGAATGTTGAATAGAACCATATAAAATCCTCGTATTCCTAAACCTATTGCATTTGAAAATTGTTCAATAAACAGGACAATAAATATCTAAATGATGTTCATGTGGGGTGCGACGCGACCGGTCCGCACCGTCTCTTGAATGTCAATGAGGGCCATTTTATATTTTATACCGCGAGATTTTCTCCCATCTACCCACCCCAATGTCCTAGTTTCATAGCGACCGCTGCCGTAAATTTGACGTTAATTCTTAATGAAAACAAATATACTTAGAATTTCACGTTTACAGAGTGTGAGTTGTTTTTTTTTTTGGTTTATCCTCTATCGTTCAAAGGACTGTGCATTGTTGTATTAATTGAAGCTACAAGCTACTTCTATATGAGACAATCCAATGGTATACTTGAAAGATTTGCTACTTTCGTAAATTTATATATTAATTTTATGAAGAGCGTGAACCAATAAGGATGTATTTACTCCCGCATTTATAAACATATAAACCTTAAATACGTGGCAAAACATTACCTGATTGAGGCTTTTAATTTTTAATTCGTTTATCAATCACCGTAACGTTGTGTATAAAATTAGTAATTCAATATTTACGAACGTTTTAATCTTTCTAAAGCTAGGATCACAAAGGATATTGATCTTGAAAGTAATATATTAAAATGGCCCCGATCAGCACCTTTACGACTAAGCTGTAGATATATAATAGGAGTGCAATTGAGAGATTGGCCAGATGGAAAACGTCTCCTCGCTTTGTTTAACCTCTCTAAAGCTTCAATATTGAAAATGATTTGGCTCCGCAAGGACAGCGCCCCCCGCCCAACTCACGATCAAATAAAGTTATAACAACGCAATCTTTTCCTAATAACTACTTTATTACAAAAGCTTAGATCTTACATTTGAAAAGCAACTTCAGAGTACTCAGTCAGCCGCGATTGTTGAGAAGATTGAACTTTATTGTAAACGTTTTAAGATACCATTTAGATTTAAGATGCAAGCCAAAAGTCCTTTTCGATTGGAGAACGGGGGTGACTGAAAACCGAAGTCTCGTCACATTTTCAATTCAAAGCCGGGAAACTAATTTTTCTCTCGAGTGTGTCGCCATTTTTGGGAGGATTTTTTCGTTGTTGAATGATTTACTACAGTTTAAAGTTTAATCGGTTTCCGCTTCACTGGCTGTCTTGGTGAAATTTTGGCATGATACTTGGTAGTTTTTAAAGTTTTTAAAGGTGTATTATTTTATTAATGTACTAGCTGCCCCCGCGAACTTCTTTTCTCCTTAATGCCTACCTTTTTAGTACATACCAGCATGGAATATTTTGCGATGTTACCCCAGAGACTGATCAGTTCTGTGATTTTCCTCCATATAAACCTCAGAGTTCAAGTTCTTAACTAACAAATAAAAAATAGGGGTTAATCGTAGCGGGTAGATGAAAATTAAAGGTTGTGTGTATTTTTGTATGCTGTACCATAAAAAAATAAAAGCAAAAAATTTGTCTCAAAACTAAAAAATAAATTTGGGGTAGTCGATTCTCAGACTTACTGAATATGCATAAAAAATTCATAAGAATCGGTCCAGCCGTTTCGGAGGAGTATGGGAACGAACATTGTGACACGAGAATTTTATATATATAGAGATATTATTTTAGATTGTTTTTTAGTAATGTTGTACTAAGCATTTAGTGTCGACATTTCTTTTTCAAATTACTTGCGGTTATGTTACCGCAGAAACTCGTAAAATTTTGCATAGATTTTATTGCAAATAGAGTTCACAAATGACTGTGTGTTCCATTTATTACTTTATTTATGACCTTCTGGGTCATTAATATACATTAACCTTGTGCTGTGCCATACAATGTACCGGATGAGGGGCGCCAGGTTGTAATACAGCTAAATCTATTATCCACTAAATGGACAGTTCAACTAATAAACAATAAACATTTCTATTTGTTCGTATTGCAGCTATTAAAAGGGGACCACCGACAGACGATGAAAAGAAACACAAAATACGTAAATTAAACAATAATTTTATCAATCTATTATCGTCTCTAACACTTGCGATATAATGACGAAAATTAAGTGAAAATTTTAGAACAATGTGTTGTCCTGTGGTTGCTCGCTAACAAGTTATGTCAAGAGACGGGTTACACGCAACCCGAATAAGTTAAATGTACACTGTTCTAAGTACTGAGCTTGAATAACGCGCGCCTGTTTAATTTGGCGGGATGATATTAATTTCGGGGTAGTGATTTCGTCATGTCTGCGACCCTACTGTTTACATTCACGATGATAATAAAGTGGATGGTTTGATGCTGGTTCAATGGTTTTTGAATATTATGTAGGCTTTTTAAAAACAGGTATATTTTGCATGTTAATTAATATTGATAATACTATTACATTTTTTTAATCAAATTAAATCAAAATACGTTTATTCAGTTTAGAGGCGTCTTAGGGCATGCTTATGAATGTCAAAAACGTTTACAAAATTCGCGAAAGTGCAAGAATCCGTTCGCAAAACTACCAGGAGGCCTTGTTCTAAGAAGAACGGGCAAGAAATTCAGCAAGTTTTACCCTCCCTCTACAATGAAGAATATTTATATTATATTTATATTTCAGTTCACAGGCTCGATACCCTGCGAATTTTTTTTTTACTAAAAGCAAATATGTAACTGTCGCAATCGGCTATAGTATACAGCCATTAAGTTATTCAAGATCGAAGTCATCCCAATCTATTTAATCAATCATTCACATACGTGAGTAGCATACGTCTCTTGGTTCACATGGTGTGGACAGGTGTCCAGCAGGTGGTCTGTCTTCAAGGCACCTTGGCGTACTAGAGATTATACATAACTAATTTAGTACTAAAATACTACAAATGTGTAGGAAAATTTAACAGTAGAACTTTAAGTGTCGATTCAAGATAGTGGTGATTTAATTTTAAAAATGTACCTCCGATACCCATGTTTAATGTTTTCGTTAAGTAAATTACGATGCAATTACATTTATGATACCATGTTTAATCTTGTTAATTTAAACTTTGATTATATTTGATAGGGCTTGTAGTGGTAGTAGAAATAAAGTTTTATATTTAAGTATGTAACTGTTATAAATAAATTGTTAACACTTCTATGCATTACACTAATTGTAATGGCTTAGCAAAATGTTAAGGTTCGTTTTTTAATTTAGACATTTGTAAAGAAATATGGAAACGTCATTTCTTAACTCGTCCTGCCGTTAATCGATGTTGTAATGAGGACTTGCTAATTGCAGTAATAAGACGTAGTGGCATTCAACACTCAGGAACATAGAAAAAATGTTTGCGAATATTCGGCGCGTGTAATTCATCTTTTTTATGTTTGTATTTACTAATTAGTCTGGTTTATGTTTGTATTTATTTATCGAAAGACTCTACAAACTTTGAGCCGCAGGTTTATTTAACCTTTTGAATTAAAAAAATATATATACGAAAGGCGTTTCGAACAAGAAATATCTTCGCTTGTGAATCGTTAATTATTCGCCATATCCCTATTATTCAAATGCATGTCTAAATAGTGCATCAAAGCAACATGTCCGAACGCCGAACGGCGCGTGCGGTCAGTACACTCGCGCGCGTTGTTCAGACGCGACGCGGACCTTGTCTTCTAAAACGACTACGCGACTGTACTAATCCCATGTGGATTTTAGGATTACGAAAAATATAGAAAATTTTTTAAATTCATATTCAAATATTTCGATTATATTTAAACATATAGTTTATATTTTTCACCGGTTTCGTGGAAGAGTTGTCTAGCGTACGTGCAAAGTGCGGGCGTCTCGAAAATCGATGAATCGCAAACATGTTGATGTGTGGATAATGAAGGGCCGATTCGACCCCCTCGTTTTGATGCAACAATGCCTGAGTACGGAGTACCGGCACCCTCCCAGACTGCATTCCCATTGCGCTATTGATTGAAATATATTAATGAAAACTTATTCAGATGAAATTGAATATTGAATCGTGTTTGAATATTGTTACTCGTAGAATAACAAATCAATGTTAACATTTATATTTTATCGCACAGATCAAGCACTAAAGTGAATGCAATCTCGTCAAATTTATTACACGTGAGATTCAAATTTACGTAAATAAACAGATGTAAGTGGAAATCGCGTCTAATTATAGACCGGTCGCCCGACTAGTCGGAAGACGAATCGACACACGGGAAGTTGAGGCAGATTAAAAGAGGGGAAGTAGGGTTCTTTGTCACCACCTGTCAAAGGCAGTCTTGTCTTGAAAGCGCCGGCGCATCTGTCGCTGTTTCGCGCCAGAATTTGAGAATATTGTGTCGATAAGTGACGTCATATTATACTCCGTGATATCACCTACAATTTGTGTACAAGTTCGGAGTATTGTGAGTGAAAATGTTGGGTTTGCTGACGTCAGAGTTTGGCTATCAGAATCGCTTGACGTTGTTACAGCAGCTGATAGAGTGCGGAGAGGTATTATTGGGGCAGGATTATGTGTACGGTATGTGAGATGAACTAATTACGAGCTATATTTAATATCGGAACATAGGTTATGAAGTGTGTCGTGTGTGTTGGGTTTTTAATTTTTATACACAAATTAAAATTCAAGAATATTTCTAATCAGTTAAACATTTCTAAGTAAACCTCAAATATAATATTTTGTCTGTGTGTGTCATTTTAAAATTTGGGGCCATTCAAGTATTATGTAAGCAGATTTACTGCAATTTATCACCCCATTCCTCTTGTCAGCAAAAGTAAGCAAAGTTCTCAAAAATAGTACATAAACGTACGTATTAATTTTTTTTGGGAATCCTCGAAAATGCATTTCGTTTTCAAGCATAGACAATGTGTGGGTAATATGTGTAAAAAAGTAAATAATTACTGTTGACGTAATCACCAAATAAGAAGAACAAGACGTAGAAGGATGATTCATAAATTTTGTAGCTTAAACCATGAACATTTAACACTGCCATATCTCTAATATGCCACCAACACTTTTTCCAGTAGCCATAATGATTTTTTTTATAACACATAAACGACGTCCGTCGTTCCACAACTTAGCGTTTTCTAAGGCAGTTTTTGCCGTGCACCACCACTATGTGGAACCAGCTGCCCACTGAAGTATTTCCGAATCAATTTGACGTACCATTTCTTTAAAGGCAACGCACTTGCGAGCCTTCTGGCAATGTCCATGGCCGGCGGTATCAATTAACATCAGCCTCCTGCCCGTTTGCTCCCTGTTGTGTATATAAAAGCGAAGAAAACAAAAAGTGCGTCGTGTCTGAATTTCTGTCTGAACACTAGTCTGCTCCCGAAAAGACTTTATCGATAGGCGTTATTTATGGTCGTATTGTGTTCCTGTGTCATAAATCCTATTAATTAGCATGAATTTGGTTGCATATTTGTGTTATCTGTGGTAGAAAAACAATTGAATTCTTACGATTGTCTGTGGTTCGACAGTTTCTATGTTCCTATAGATTTTCTGTTAAACAAGGTGATATATTTATCGATAATAATTTAATTAGGATTATTATAGAATTTTATTTGTGCAATATAACTACCTATACTTGTTGAGATTTAAACCTTAGTAGAGCATCGAAGTGTAAGTATCTAATTATTTATTATTATTTTCAATACATTGTCTCTTCACTGCGACATCATGGAACATTACGATCTAACCTAACTTAAGATTAATAAGTAATTTAACATAAGAAAGTGTCCAATAACACTCCTTACAGTCTCTATTAAAGGGAAACCCTGTTCTTGTGTTCTATTTCTTCACTTACCAATGTTTAGCACTTAAGAGTAACGAATAACCAATTCAAATGGTTCTATAATTTTAAGTAACTCGACGTTAAGGTCATAAACAAACAAAAAATCCGCTTTATACAATTTCCTATGTATTTATTATAGAACAATTAGTGCTTTATGGCTTTAAATGAATATATATTATTCGTTCCTTTCAAAAACTAAAATCCGAAAAAACGTTAGTGCTACAATATGCTTCGTTTATATTAGAGTCTGTTAATTTTAAAGGGTTTTATGAATACTGTTATGTTTAGGAGCAATTGGTTGCGCAAGTGTCAATCGTTTATTGTTCAACTTTATAACTTTCTTGTTAAATTTCTTTACAATTAATTTGTATAGAACTTTTGTTTTGTGTTGCTGACATTGACGTTATACAACAAAACATTGAACATTGTTTTTATTTATTTAGTTATTTAGACACACATTTTTGCACAAGAATAAAAAAAAAACCAGTTTGTGTTGATAACAATAAACTTAAAAGAACGTGCAACGGCCTTATCGCCACTAAGCGATCTCTTCCAGACAACCCCAATTAAAGAATACAGTAAAGAACTGTATTCAAACGCTATATTTATCAACGTACTATATAATTTTCAGCAAGTTATTATTTAATGTGAAATGCAATATGTTTAGGTAAGAATCAGGAAGTAGGTAAACGTTACCCCACACACACACACACCACTTACACACACACACACACACACACCACTTACACACACACACACACACACACACACACACACCTAAAACCCAATGCGTTTTGGCATACGAAAGTAACACCCAAGTCTCGTTTCTTCTAGAACCTATCTTTATATGACTGTGAAGCTTGTCTTTAGGTCACGTAATCCATAAATCGTTAATAATGATGTCATATGTACGCGTAAACAAAAGCCAATGACCTTTTTATAATTGTTAAAATTTTCCACAGCAGTCATTCAAAATCTCTTACATAACAATAAATGTGTGTTAATGCTTCATTTTTTCAGTTTAAGGTTGAATGTAATATTTATTTATTTAATATGTTGATTTTGATATGTTGGACTAGTATGTATAGAATAACATAAGTCTTAATTTAATTCAAATTACGTAATAAATCTACGGGATTTTATTCAAATGGTTCTTGTATAATATAGAGTTCTAGTTCTTATTTATTAAAACTATATCAGAGATTTTAAATTCATCGTTATGATACTTCAATGTAATATGTTCTATACATATATATACTGTCTAGGTATATCACAGCTTAAATACAAATTGACTGTGACGAAAGAGACTACAGCAATAACACTGATCTGGGTTTTTTATTATGAATAATAGGAACTAAAAAAAATTATCAAAAACATTTTTTTTTTCTTTTTAACTAAAGGATTTTGGTAATAAAACCAGAACAAAAGCTAGTTCTCACGTGGAGACGTCGCGTGAGGAGCAAAAACGGGATGATTTGCATTAGTAGCGGTAATGTTGGAGCGTCACGGGACAGCCTGGCAGGCGAATGATAAAAATTCATGGGATCAGGATTTATTATGATTTTTGTATATAGAAGCTAGAAGGCCTCTAAGGTCGGTTCAAAATTTAAATAAAACAAATAAGTAGTTAGGTTTATCCATTCTGAAACAAACGGACATTTTTCATATAATTAAAAGCAATTTGGCAATTAAAACGTAAACAGAACTTGTTAATTGCAATGCCTTAGTTGTCTTTAGGTGGATGACCTCTTTCGACCTGTCTATCAGCGACTTATTTCGGTTTAGATTTTCAGACCTAGACCCAAACCGTAATGGAATTTGTAGACTTTGATGTGGAGTTAATGAGATTTGGGAATGTTTTATTAAATCGCTGTATAAATCGAATATATGAATTAAATCAATTTATAACTGAATAACGTATGAGTCATGATTATGCGTCTGTTATAAGTAATTTTTGGGTTATTTTCCTATAATTATGTATATAAAATTCTCGTGTCACAATGTTCGTTCGTTCCCATACTCCTCCGAAACGGCTCGACCGATTCTTATGAATATTTTTATGCAAATTCAGTAAGTCTGAGAATCGGCTACTACTATCTTTCAAACCCCTAAGTAATAAGGGGTATTCACTGCAAAATTTTCTTTTTCTTTTTTATAATACACCATACAAAAATACATACATCCCTTAATTTTCACCCTTCTACGATCAACCCCTATTTTTTATTGTAGTAGGTAGTTATTTTTATTGAACTAAAAAAATGTTTCCTAGAAATAATATACAGGGCAAAACAACGCTTGCCGGGTCAGCTAGTTTTTCAATAAACCTGTAGCGTTGTTAATCTTTTAAGTCAGCTCTTTCTTCTTCTTAAACTTTGGAAATGTTTCCTAAGATAATCGTCAACATACGATGTCAAGTTCAATATTTTTTGCATACAAGCATACTTTTATGCAAAAAATACTGGACTAGTAGGCTTTTTCAGATTAGGATCATTTAAGTATTCCTCAAATTTATAAAAAGCTTTATTGATTAATTTTCGTTTAACGAGGGCTTTGAATTTATTTACCAAACCAAACTAGGTATTACGTGGGTATTTAATAATTATTTCCTTTCGTAAAAGTTTGAAACTTTTTGTATTACTTATTCCGTATTTGGCCATATGTTAAGTATAATTGTTTTTGTTGTATATAATATATATATTATGCTAGTTTTAGGATTACGAAATAAATAAATAATTTTCCAGGAATCGAAAAGCGTAAATCGCCTTTTCCCTGATCACTGATTCAATCATAACGCGCCTCTCAGTGATCGTTCATTTGGTGACGTTTGATGTTTCAGTATAGAAACTGAAAGGAAATAGATACCTCATATGTTATGATACAATTAAATATGTTACCCAGCTGTTTAATTTCCCTTTTAACCTTTGATTAATGACCTTATGACATTTTAAGTGACCTACATTTGTTATTTAAAATGCTTCGGCATCTTCGTTTGAAAGCCTCGCCATTGAAAGTCATAAGGAGGTTGTCGACCGAAATCGAATCTGTCCTACTGTTTATTTGAATTTGAAATTCGTTTGAACTGTGTGTGTTAGCTAAATATACTAAATATAAATAACACTGTTTATAGTGTGAAGTTTTTGGTTAGGTTCTGTATGACTTTATAAAATACCTGTCTGTGGCCTTCAATACGAAACAATAATCGTTTATTCTGGAATCCTTATACCACTCAGGTTATACGCCAGGTGCTCACAACTAAGCGGTAAAAAATGGAGTGAAAATGTTGGATCTAAAGTCTAAAAGTTTTTTTTAAATCTACAATGCATTTTTATTGAGTCATTAATTATTGTTTCTTTTGTTTCAGGTTTGGACAGTCGGATATCCAACTCTAGGAATTCAGTTTCACCGTAAGTTTAATGTTATAAACAGAATATATTTTATCTATTAATTTAATATTTAAGTTGTTGATAAGGTTTGCTACAATTCATATGATTAAGGCGTTAAGTATATCGGAGTATATAATATGTATTAGCAATACGGCGTTTTTTAATTATTGTGTTTTGTCGTAGATTTTTAAAATTTGAAAATTCATAAGAAATAACAGCTATTCAAGCTGACGTAAAACATATTTGGATGCAACTGAGCTTTTGAGCTAAAATCGCAATCGCTTGAAAGTTTTGCAGGCGTTAATTGTGTAATTAAGTTTTATTTGTAGTATGTTTCTATGTATTCATCAAAATGTATAATTGACGTGAATGTATAGTAAACAGACGTTTTTAACATAACAACACTCAAATCAACTCCGTAACTCCATTTAATTCAACGTTTATTATTATTTATTATTAATCCACAGCTTTTGTTAAGATAATATTTATAATAAATTTTTAAATTCTAAACGGATTACACCATTAAGAAAATTATGTACTAACAAAGACAATTTACTTTTAATTTAATTGAGGTGTGTGTGCGAATGTGTAAGTGTGTGGGCATTTTTATGTGATCTTAATAATCAAGTCGAAATTACTGCACTCTGGTTGATTTGCCTTCTCATTAGAATGAAATTATTCTATAGAATTATTTCCATATAACAATCACTCTGAATAACGTCAGAAATCGTATATAACTGTAAATATGTGAGCCACCATGTATCTACATAATAGTTTAGTTATCTGCTGCATTGTTTTTTATAACACCATACATTATTTTAGCATAGTAGTTTTATTTTTATGCACATGGTCTTCACATATAATTATCAAATCAATGTATACAAAATAAAACCTATTTTAAAAGTATGGAGTTTCTTGCCCACTATTTTCCATATGAAACTACCTCTTGGAAGGGGCAACTAGAGTAATTTTTTTACTTATTATTTTGACTTTAAACGTGCCTTTTAAACAGGTCTAGTTGAAATAAATGATTTAATTTAAAATTTGAATACACAGAGTCTGAAATAGATCGCTTATTGTCAGCAAATTAATTAATTTCATCATTGTATTAAATAAATTATTCTTTCCAGTGACGTAGTGAACAAGGACCTTGGTCTGTCTGAGAGTGATGACGAGGTCGCAGCCACCACCACCAGGCTAGAGCCGTAAGTTATTCTAGATTTTAAATATCTTCAATTTTATTTTGGCTAAACGCGTTAATCGACAGAATTACTTCGAATTCATTAATTTTGTGGAATATACCGTTTATCATGGAACGCTTTAGCCTATATAACATTACGCTTCTAACTAAAGCGGGATAAACCGCGAGGCCCAGATGGTTTATAAATGAATTGATGTCTTATAGAAGCGTAGTGAATGTAAGGGATTCATAAGAGTAATAATATTAATAATCTACATACTACGTGAGTATGTCTGGCTTCAGCGTACGACTCTCATCCCTTAGGTCGTAGGTTCGATCCCCGGCTGTGCACCAATGGACTTTATGTCTATGTGTGCATTTAACATTCGCTCGAACGGTGAAGGAAAACATTGTGAGGAAACCGACATGTATTAGACCCAAAAAGTCGACGGCGTGTGTCAGGCACTGGAGGCTGATCACCTACTTGCCTGTTAAATTTAAAAATGATCATGAAACAGATTCAGAAATCTGAGGCCAAGACCTAAAGAGGTTGTAGCACCACTGATTTTATTAATAATCTACGGTGTTCACATCATAACTCTTCTATCTACTTTCATCTCGCCACCGTACCTACGCATTTTGAATTGCTTATATCAACACTTTTTACTTTACAGAATCCTCTCACCGATACGCTCCGGTGGTAGTCCGAGTTCCGGCAGCGAATCATCACCTTCGGACTCTGAGTCAGAGTCTTCTTCAGCTGAGTCCACGGCTCCAGTGCCAGCCCCTGCACCAGCGCCTCCACCCGCGCAGCGCCCCTCTTGGGGCCTTTCGAACTTCGCGCCTCCACCGCCGGAGCCTCCCGACCATCCGGATTTGACAAATGTACTGGCTGATGCGAAGGGAAAACCGGTGAGTAGTTTTGTATAAAACCCAGGTAACCTTTTAATAATGAATCTGATTCAGAGCAGCTATTATTATTTATATATATCAAATTGTCTTTACAGTGTACTAATTATTTTTAATTTTTTTGTCACATTCAGTATTTGAGAATAGGTTGTATACCTACTATTTTTATTATCTGAGTAATTTGTGTTCAATTGTTTTATGATTTGGTATTTTAAAAAAAATCTTATTTTCATTCCTCTTCCAGGAACCACCCATTTTTAATAGCTATATTAGATACTAGCTGGCCTGGCGAACATCGTACCGCCTAACAGTCTATTCTTTATTTTTTTAAATACTTATTCTGCTATTCGGGACACCGGTCTAGCTAATAAGATAAAAAAAAGAAAGTTGATAAGACAACAAAAATACATTATGTCAAAAAATAAAAATTTACCTTCCCGCCTTAGAAAGCCTGCTGATCCACATACAATCAGGATAGCGTATACTGCATTATGCCAGTCGATATTATCTTACTGCATATCGGTTTGGGGTGGAGCGGCATTGTCTTCAATGCTGAAAATTGAGCGCACCCAACGTGCCATTATTAAGATTTCATATAAGAAACCTTTCCGCTACTCAACTTCAAAATTGCACAATGAAACTAAACTTTTAACTGTGAGACAATTATATCTAATAGCAATATGCAGACTTTTTTGGAAACAAACACCCACCGCACCGCATCAAACAAAACGCAAACCCATATATAAGCAACCCAAAACTCGCACTTTCTTCGCCCAACGCTTTTTCTCCTTCCGAGGCCCTTTCATCTTTAACCACTTCATTAAAAACAAAATTATCACGAACATTTCAAAAATCACATTACATACATTTACTAAACATCTCAAACGATATCTTGTTAACCTGTCCTATTCTGATACTGAAAATATTCTTATTGTGCAAAAATAGTTTAAATATAAATGTGTAGAAATAATTAATATAATTTTTAAAAATACTGTTTACGTGTCAAAAGGAAGAGACTGGCTGCCCACAACACAGGGAATCCTAGTGTGGGGGCCAGTGCACTTTACTTTATCTAAATATCTTGTATATTGTGCATAATAAAGTTTTTTCTTCTTCTTCTTCGGAACCCCTCCACTAACATTTGAACTTTATGATATGGTATTAAAGTTCAAATTGACTTTTAAGTATTATTACGAATATTTTGTATGGGAATACAGAAAAGTTGTTTTTAGACGTTTTCACTCATTTTTTTAAATTTTTCTCTCCGTAAGAACTATCCTCGTACTTCCAGGAATATTATAAAAAAAGAATCAGACAAATCGGTCAAGCCGTTTTCATGTTATGTCGTGACAACGGAAAACGGGTTTCATTTTTATATATATAGATTAGTTTATAAATAAGTACGCATAGCTTAATTATTAAATACAATCCTTAGACGATAATTGACGTTAATTGTAACAAACAAACTTAAAATGTTGTCAATAAATGTTTCGTAGAATTAAGAATTAATTGGCACTAGGTTAATACCAAAAATGAAAGCTATTTATTTCTTAACAACTATTACAAATACATAAAAAAAATTAAATTAAATAAATAAAAATTGAATTAAATAAATAAAAATTGAATTATTTCACTTATGCAAACGCGCAGTTTTAGTACATATTAGCTTTCTCAGGTGTCTTGTTACTTGAGATAATCACTTCGCTGTATTGGATAGCTGAGTCAGCACAAAACCGATCTCAATGTGACGCGCCATTATAAATCAGTACCAACCAAGCAGCGGTTTAGTGTTAATGGAACGCTATCGCAAATTTTTATTGCCAATTATCAAGTGAATCGGAAATTTCCATCGACATGGATGAGAATATCTTCCAATTTCTTATTAATCTATTATATGACAGCAATAAAGATAAAGATATTCAGAGGAAATGGATCAAGTTAGCGGTTCTAAAGTCCAATTTGAGATCCGGACTGAGATCCTTCGAGAATAGTTTGAATGATATCCCTTGCCGGGATAGAAATAGGATTCTTCTTAAGTATTTTCGATTAAAGGACACGCTGTGGAGGGCTGTGGGGGCGATTCACGGCAATCTTACTTCGATGAGTGCCATTGAGGTTTAGAATTATAGAAATCTTTATACCCTTTAGACTTTAGATGCGATGGAGTAATATAAATGGATAAACTATAAGTAGGAATCGTATTTAAGCAATGGTATTTTGTATTTTCAGCAGAGTCCGATATCGGATCTGTCGGATTCCGAAGCGTCGTCGCCATCTCCGGGGGTTAGACGTCGCAGATCTCTTGCCAATCGCATCTCCACTGCATCTAGTGATGAAGAAACACCTCGACCAGTGCCGGTAACATACACTTATAGTATCATGTGCCTGAGTTATATATCTGTTATAAGGATCATTATTATATCATTATTATCTTACAATGTTTGTCAGTCGGCTGTACATCATTTGTTTGGGATAACACTATAATGTTTAACAATACTATATTCCTTTTATTTTTTCTACTCCAAAATATTTCTTATCGCCTCGCCTACATTTGAGCTTTATTTAAAATTCATAATCTCCTTCCAGGTTCGACCACAAGCATCGTCAAGCGTGCCACCACCAATTCCAAGCGGTTCTCAAAGCACAGGGGTCAAACGTGGGCGGCCGCCCAAAGTGCGAACGTCGGAAGAACGCCCGCCCAAAAAGAAGCGCGGCCGCCCAAAGAAGACCCGCCCACAGTCGCCGGCTCCACCTGACAGTGAGCCGGAACCTGATCCTCCCGTACATCATGCTCTACAGGATACTAAGACGCATATCTTTCGTAAGGTGAGAACACAGCTTATACCGGTTCATACTAACATGATTTCTTTTAGGAAAACCTGCGACTCTGCTGTTAGCCAGGATCAAAAGAATCTTAATGACCTCATTTTTTGTGTCACCAAACTTACACAAATTTTTCCCGTATTTTTTGACTATGAGATCCCTCCCTTTTTGGTATGTTTTAAGAGATTTATATTTTTTAAATTAATCAACCAAAATATAACAGTGTTGACATTACATGTACACAGTATTACATGATAATTATAATTATTTTCAACACTGAATTTTTCAGGTTTTCACCCCTAAAAACGAGGGTGGAGGAAAGGGTGGCAAAGGAGGCAAAGGAAAAGGAGGCAAGGGTAAAGGTCAAGTGACGATAATCGAAGTGACGGCGCCCGAATCCGGGGCTGACGACGACGACCGCCACAGGGACCGCTCCACCGAAAGAAGGACCGAAGAAGCTATTGCCAGGGTCTCTCCTCCACAGGAATCAGAGACCTACACCAGACGGCGTGATGCCGAGAGAAACGCTAACGATAGGATACAAGGAGTTCCAATTGAAAGGCCGGACTACCGCCGCACCGAAGACAGACCGACTATAGAACGCACTTCGGTAGACCGACTACCAGACAGAATAACCAATGATCGGTTAGTCCCCGAGCGGATGCCTTCAGACAGGAGGTCCACAGATCGACTGCCCCCGGATAGACCGGATCGGAACGATCGCGCCCAGGAGAGACTATCGAACGACCGCTTCCAAGACAGAATATCCAACGATCGCCTCCAGGAAAGGATATCCACAGATCGACTCCAGGATAGAATTTCCACAGATCGCTTCCAAGAAAAACTCTCTTCCGACAGACTGCAAGAGAGATTATCAAATGATAGATTGTCGAACGATCTCATCTCCCCTGATCGTATGTCCGACAGGTCTTCAGACAGATTGTCGACGAGCGATCGAATGGATCGGAAATCCGGCGACAAAATGTTGATCGACCGGTCGAGCGACAAGTTGGATAGGTTGTCGAGTGATAAAAAGATATCTGTGGACCGGGTGGAGAGGATCACGCCGGAGAGAGCAGAGGCCGATGTTGGATTTGTTCAGTGTCCTGTGCCTATAGGTGAGTAAATCAGTTATGACTCTTCCGTTCTACGCCCTTGATTTGAGAACTGGCACTAAATGTAGAGTTAGAAGCATTTCATATACATTTCTTTTTTTTTGACGATCATAAGTGTACATTGTGTTACCTATTTGAATAAATGATTTTTGAATTTTGAATAACCTCGTATGTCAAAAAACCATTTATTTTGTATTCTTAGACTCATGTTATTTAACTGGTATAATCATGAAGTAAGGAATTATTTATGTTATTAATAAATAAGTCCTTTTTACCACCTAAATCTATGGACAAAAATACCTAATAATATTTTAACATTGACGAAATTTAAAAAGAATAATATCGTTTCCTGTAATGTTTGGTTCTCTGGCCATAAGAGGTTATCATTCTACAGCGACGATATATTTATATGGCCATATGTCAGAATATGATTAATGCAATTTCATTACTTTACAGGACAAGCAATTAAATTATTAAGAAATCTTGGAAGGCACTATTAAAATATGAAAAACTCGATATATGAATAAATGTACTTATTATTGTCTGATCTATGATCACAGATATATTATATATATAGTTTCATTATATCTTTATATATACATATACTTAAAGAACTTAGAACAATTACTTTGGGACGTGAAGATACTTATATATCATATAATCTTATTTCAATAAAAATTGAGAATTCCAATTTTCTCCAGTGTCGGAGCGCCGCAGTCGTTCCAGAGTATTAGTGAGTATTCCCTTGGGACGTCTCCGAGCTGAGCTGGTCCGTGCCTTGCGTACACCGAGAAGACCTGGCCCACCACCGGCGCAGGTCAACACACCTCTACAGGTAAATTATTACAGATAAACAATAGAGGCATATTACATACATCGTGATAGGAATTGCTTTAGACATTCTCTGAATGTCCGTCTTCCGGTTTTTTACGAAAAGAATATCGACTTTTGACTTTGATGATGGGCGTGGCATAAATTAAACCATTTAAGTTCCATAATTGAATATTTAAAATCAGAGTGGTGCTACAACATTTTTAGGTCTGGACCTCAGATTTCTGTCTGTTTCATGATCATTTGTCAATCTAATAGGCAATTAATCAGCCTCCTGTGCCTGACACACGCCATCAACTTTTTTGATCTAAGGTAAGCCGGTTTCCTCACGATGTTTGCCTTTACCGTTTGAGCGATTGCACAGCAATTTTATAATTTCTTTTCCTTTATATCGAGCTGTTATGTAAAAAGTTATTTCTCCAGAGCGAAGTAGCGGCGACGAACCACGAGCGGCCGACCCCGTGTCTGGGCCAGACTCCGATCTACTACTCGTACTTCGAACAGTTGCCCGCTGACGCGCTTTCCGATGAAGAGCGGGACCACAAGTTAGTAGACAAACATTTATAAAATACAAAAGTACATTTAATTTTGATGTTTTCAATACTTCTTTATCAGACGTTAAAAAAGATCCCTTCGTTCAAAGACTAATATTTTCAGATACTACCTCGCGGAAGCTAAACGCCTCCGCTCGGCGGCGGAAAGCGAACAGCACGCTTTGCCACGCGTCATGCTGTACCTGGAGTCCGTGCTTTGCTTCGTTTTGACCGGACGCGTGCTGGAACTGGAGTTGGACACCAAAAGAGCCTTCACAATTTACCGGGAGACCATCGAGTATATCAAGTCCATACACTCGATGCCGCAAAGGATCAGGGCCGAAGCGAGGAAGAAGGGAGGGGAACCTCACTCTACTTTCAGCAAACTGGATATATTGAGGTAGAGAATGAGAATGACTGGCTTTCTTTCTTTTACAATCACTCCGCGATAGACGCCACCTGATGGACATTTTCTTTGTTTACAATTTTTTTATAACTTGGTAGACTTACTAATTTTTTTAAATCGACTTAATTTTGAACACAAGAAACACATCAGTCCTTTTTACGTTCGGGCCTTAAGGACCAACGTCTGTTGTAATAATTCTCCTCTAAACAGATCTCTATCTACAGTCAGACGTAAGATGCTGCACCCTTTGTTCCGTCACCAATAACAATTGCAAAGAAGAAATATATCAAAATTAAATTGCATATTTGCTTTAATCCCGTATCCTTTTGTATGGCAACTGGCACAGGCTTGCTCAGATCGATCTGGTTCTTTCTTCCAAAGACCAGTCCAGTAAATACTCTGCATTTGTTTACACCAATTTATTAATTTATTATTGTATTATCTGGACTATAAAAGAGACTAAGACCCCCGAGTTTGTTTCGACATTTCTTCTCAGGGCAGTCAGGAAATGTCGATTTCATCTAGTTTAGGAAGACATTGTAAAAGTGATTTATATAGTCTTACTTGCAAGAATAAACTATTTCATTTCATATTTCATTTCATTTCATTTCTTAATTTAGTTAATTGTCGTATATTTTTATTGTATTATTTCTTTTCTCGTTTATAATTGTTTTGTATATTTAATGTTGTGCACACTTGTCATTGATGCCAAGTGTAACACTTATCTAAAGTATCTGTATGTGTTTCGTATGATGCATTTTTTTAAATAAATAAATGTGTATTTTGCCACAATACGTCATTGATCTAATACAAATGTGTAAAATTCTACATTATTTTAACAAAAAGTTCAGTAAACTGCCTTATAACGCGGTAGACCAGGGCCGCGTTATAGGATCTCGTTGTAGTAGTATTCTCGCAAAACCGTTTTTTGATCAATTCAAAAACTAGGAACACGATTTTAATAAAGTTTAATTTTATAACACAATTATGGACTTGACAAATCATTATAAATTTAATACAATAGAAATATAACTTGAGAAATCTCCGCGTTATATGGGGAAAATATCGAGAAAATATCATTATATTGAGGACGAAAATCGCGTTATACAAAAATGCGTTATACGGGGGATTACTGTATATCACATAAATTTGTGCATACTAACCCAACATTTAATGTATAATTAACATAAGTAAATAAATAAATACTCTTTCAGCCTGCGTGTGCAAGCCCTGCTGTACCTGCGCATGTTCAAGATGTACAATCGTGAAGTGAAGGAGTACTACAAGATCGTGCAAGAGTATCAACAAAAGGTCGGTAATGTAAGTGTAAATCTTTATTCACAGCTTTTATATGGATCTCAATTTTGATAAATATTTGAGCATTTTCTGGTGAAATTTATTATTCTTCTCCTCATATAGTGCCATCTCCTTTCGAAGGTTGGCGATCATCATGGCATACTTTAATTTTTAATTATATCGTGCTATCTATATTACAATCTTCATTAATATTTTGTTAAAATTGTGTCTCAGAAATTCGTTATTTCCACAGCCGGCATGCGCCGAGTCGGTTTCCCCCCTGTCTCCGACGCCTTCTCCCGCGGGGTCAGTGGGCTCGGGCGGTTCGGCGTCGAGCGGGTACTGCTCCCTAGCGCACGCGGTTCCTGCGCACGCGCACAACGCCCTACTTCAGCTCACCAAGTACTACACGTTCCTGTACGTCGCGCACGATCTATGGGAACAGGCCGATTGTTTGTGCCGGTTGAGGCCTAATCAAGGTTCGTAAAAACGAACTTCGACTTCCCTTTTGGCTTGACAGAAATAAAAATTAGGAATTTAGGAATCTCTTCTTTTCTTGTATGACAAAATATTTTTTTTTAATTATATAAAATCACATACATTTTAGATAATTTATTTTTACTAGAACCAGTAAAATTTATATTTTTGTATCAAATGTTTCCAAATTAATAATACGAATTTATTGTTATAACAATATTCTTAATTTAGCAAGATACTAAACAGTCGAATTAAATGTAAAATACCGACTTTGAAATCAAACTCTTAGGCAAATTAATTGAATAGTTCCTTTTTTTCTACAGATCTGTTCATAGCAGTGGACCGAAAATGCGGACCGCTGACTCTCTTCTCGACGTTCAGACATCTCGTACAATATGTGCGTTACGCCATCTCTCTTCTAAAGAGTGCCCCACAGTGACACACACAGAGACACACGAGCGTGTCTCGCACAGAGAGAGGCACACAGTCTCACACACGAACGCAGAGAAACAACCAGTCGGGATATCGACCGACGCGGCCGGTTTGAGCGGACCAACGTGTTTCGAAGTTTTTGGCCTAAACTATTTAGCAGTTTTAAGTATGGTTCAACGCGAACGTACACGTAACTTTACGTATACGTATACGTACTGTACATATATCAGAAGCATCACAATTTTACAAATTTTATTATGAAAAGAACATTGCAAATTTTACGTTCAATATCGTTTAGTGAAAACGGTTTTGTCATCTCATTTCATACGTTTGGTATAGTTTATCTCTTGAATGCTGTCTGTTTGGTTCCAAATATGCCCACATTCTTCCATTTTGGTATTATTATGTGATTTAATATATTGTTTTTGCTAAAGCTATTAAACCATAGTTTCTCATACTACAGTTACTGAATATGACATAATATTGTGATTCCTTATTTTTATCGATTTTTGTGACATTGATACGTTTATACGGCTGAGACAAGTAGACTAGCGCACTCGCGTCGGGTTTCTATATGGATACCAATAGTGATAGCTACGAATCGTAGTTGTTAATAGAAAAAATCCTTAATAGAAAAATCTACATAGCCTTCGATTTGCAAATAATTGTACTTAAACCATGTATTTAACTAACGTGTTCTAAAAGTGTTTTAATGAAATAACTTCAACTTTTCTTTGTTAGTTAAATATATTGGCCGTAATAAATTCTAAATGAAATGTAAGCAATATTATTAAAATTACTATTTTTATGAGAATATTATTTGATTGAAGTAGAAATATATAAATGTGTAAAATATTTTAATTGCGCTACTATTTTGCGATACGAAGAACTCACAAAACCCATAAACGTGACTCAATATTCATTTCTTCTTAGCGATGCTCGGAAATTCGGTTTTGAAATATTGAATTGGGTTATCATACAGTTTTAGGTTTTAAATTTTGTGAAAAAATATATATATATATATAACAATATATAAAATAAGTGAATTGTTTTCAATAGAATTTTAAAAGCGAACAATATTTTTCCGGAACAAGAGTCGAGCAAATATTTGTTTCATTTAAATTTATTTTATACATTGCGAAAGACAATAAACATAGGAGAGTCAACTAAGTGAAAATTTTAAATTTTTCCAAATGTAAAATTTAATATAATTATAATACGAACAAATGGTAAAGTGCAAATTTTGATGAAACTACAAAGAGTACAAGACATTCTAAAATCGGTCGCGATGCAATTCAATCTCTAACACCAATTTTTATCTCTCGGTTGTTTAAATTTATGTTGTGATTGTAAATATATACATTTTGTAATGCATATACATGTTAGTGCCAGATAGGTTTTGTATGAATGTTTATATAAAAGTTAGGACGAAGTACGGGCATTTTAACGAACGCACGACCATAGACGGCGGACCTCGGACACGTGCGGAGCGTACGCAACTCAGCGATCGTGCGAGAAATGAAATTCTTGCAAATTGAGATGCCTTGTATATAGTATATTAAGATGTAGTTTTCACTTTATATTTTATCTAAACTATTGCTAAGCGGACAAGATATTTGACATAAGCGATCGGGACGCGTGGTGAGGCCTGACGTGTCTTCCGAGTCGAGTGTTGAGAGGAGCTTGCAGCGTTCGATTAGTATAATTTAGTGTTACAGATTTTGACTACGTTATCACGTTTAGGTAACCGACCTTGCAACTAGGTGTTTAGAAGCTGTCCTTTAGGGTAAGATTCAGAGTCGAGTCTAAGAGCTAAGTATGGACTGAATCTTCCCGTTGGACAAACCGTCAAGTTAATGATTATCGCGTACCGAGCCGCGGTTCCTATATAACCCTACGCTAGTTACCTGCTAACGACACGAGAAGATCACTTCTCTACTTAAATATTTATTGCGTATACAACGCTCGCTTAACGCATCGGTTTTTTTGTTCCATATGAATCGGTACTTATATGCACAAACTATTTATAATTTATTCGTTATTTATTATCACAAATTGTAATTTATTTTAATAATAGCGCAGTTTACTTAATAAGTCGCGATTCGGGCTCTTCAGATAGACTAACTAAAATCGCTCTAACCGCGACTCATTTGAGATTACGTTGTGCCCACTGTGCATTTTTAGTTATATTTATGGCCTCGTCCAATTAAACGCTTTGTAAGACGCGTCTTTGCGTTTCTTAAAGCGTTCATTCGAGGCCTAAACAGTTAGATCTGCGCTCAAGTGCCTTGGAATCGCTAGTTTATTTTTATGTAAGTACTTTAAGTTTTATTTCAAAATTATTCTTTCATCTCCTTTCGAAACTCGCATTTATGTACTTTGTTTTTGTTGTACTTTTTTTAGTTCATAATTATGTCATACTACATTTGTTGCTCTTTATCAGTAGGTTATGTCAATAGTTGTAAAGAATTGTGAATCACAAATATTTCATAGTAATTGTAAATACTATTATGTCCCGATTCGGGCGTGGTCTTATATCAAATCCCTAAAATTGAAACCAAATTATTAAAATGATTGTATAGAAAATGGTCCGAGTACGCCGCTCGGCGCGACATTGTTTTAGGTAATTTGTAAAGTCTGTTTTCTTATTCTGTCATTTAAGTAGTCTTGTGTTGATAGTATGTATGATTTGTTTTTTTTTACATTATTGATTTAATTAATTATATGTATAAATTTGTTTTTTCCTTTAATTTTATTATTTGTGTAACCTATGTTATTGATGATAGAATACAATAATTTTTATGTATATATAATTTTTGGTTATTTTTTTTCCTTTCCTTTTCAAGCTGCCAAATAATTAGTCAATTTCAACATATAATATACACCTCATAGAAATGCTAGTTCTTAATTATTGGCAAAGATTTACCAAGGATCAATTCACAAAATGGAATAACAACTCGATATCAAAATGTCGTACGCTACGACGAAATTTTAACATTTTTCGAGTTTTATTAATATAGCCGCCATGATTATGCGCTTAATACAATAAAGTAGTTTTAGTGAAATAAGCCAAGATTGCCTTATGCAAAGTGTCTTTCAGAACTGCCACAATAGTTTATAATAATTCAGTACCGTTATTTAATACTTCATATACAGTTTTATAGAAGTAAAGGATTGGAAATGGTCTAGTCAAGTTATGGGTGGCTATCCACTTTGAATCTAACAAGAGAACTTCGTGATTACCACATAATGAAATGAATTAATTAATTAATTTATTGTTTTAGTTGTCTAAAAAATACAACGGTTCGTTTTTCAAAAGAAAGTGTAGAGTGGAAGCCACGACAAGGAACGTTGCTAAGAATATTTCGATAGGCGTTAATTTTAAACGGTACTGAATGAAAACGTTAGCAATATTGAGCAATGGATGAACTATAAATATAATATCGTTGTCAATATTTTATCTACGTATATACAAAGGATCGCTGCAAGCTCGTATATTTTTAAAGTATATGTATATTACAACGACATACTTCGGTCAAGCAGCTAGAAATGTCTAAAGTTCAAACAGCAAATACAAAAAATTTCTGGCTGCTTTTGGAATAAGTACATAAACTGCTTATGTCAGTTAGCTTATATTAACGCTTTGTATACGATAGGTAAGTACACAAAACAGCAGTGCAGCGAAAAGCGACAAAACGTATCATTAAAACGCAAAATTAGTGGTTAACTTTTAAGAATCGATTAGTTAAGCTACACGAGATACCGTTTTGTTTAATAACGCCTTGTTATTGGCCTTTATTACTGATATGATATCATCTAAGTACCTGTTGAATGCAATTTAAATGGTCGAGAAATATATATTTATTGCCGCCTTTGCGTTGTTAAATAAGTTATGTATGCCATTTTGTAGACATTATTACTAAATATATCTTGGCGTATCACAAAAAGGGCTCCCGTACTGTTGAAAAGCAAAAAAATAAATTTGGCCAATATGAAAGTACTATATTAGTTTATAACATATTTACGTAGCTGATGTCATCTGTATATTAAAGTACAGTTTTCAAATTAATGGGAGAAAAGTACGAAACATTTTAAGCGCTTCTGTAATTAATACCTATTACTCAATTATATAATTTTGTAAAAACAATAACACCACCTATGTAATAAGAGTGTTATATATTACTGTTAAGCTAAACATTATCGACTATATTTTTACATTGATTTGATGTTAGATTTAATATAAGTCGGCGTATTATAAGTTTTATGTGTCTGAACTTTTAAAATCAATTGTAGTAGCAGCTAGTGAATGTAAATCCTAAGCGGATAGTATCATTTATTTTAGTATTGAATAAAGTTCAAAATTAAATTCAAATTGTGCCTTAGTGAATGGAAACCTAATTTTATTTGGGAGTAAGGAAAGAAAAGAGGTAAAGAGATCGATACATTTTCAAATAGGTATCAATGTCAATCTTAGTCTAAGATTTACTGATGCTTAAATTGTTTGACCCTTTCTGAGAAACTTGAATATGCAATAAGATTTAACAATATTTTGTTTTATAAAATGTTGTAAAGAATAATTGATTTTATTTAGTATTTACATTATATGTAGTTGAGTATATGTCGTAGCAATAATTTAAGCGTGGCAATAAGGTCTAGTGGTTTTGCTTTTGTGTCTTTGAATAATATTAAATAAGATGTATATTGTACTTTTCTCGTCCTCGTTAGAGAACCGGATGCTGTATACTGCTTCTAAACTAATTTCCAGTTTTAATGTATAATTTTAATTACTTAATTCCACGGATTAAGTATAAGTAGAGAATTTTAATATTTCGATGTTCGTGTTCTTATGTTTTATCGCTGGTGTTGTAGTTGTTTCCTGTATCTTCGATCCGACCAATCGCTTGAGTAATGCTGGGTCCAAACTATGCGTTGGTAAGATAAATTAAAAATTCGTGTAATTACTAAAATACGGTTTCGTTTCAAATTGGTGATTCGCTAAGTTTGGTCACAGCAGGTAAATTCTTACTGCTATCGTTTGTTTGTAGCGACGGATAAAATAAAATTCCAATTGTAGTATAAGACTAAGTGCCAACGCGACGCTTTATAAGTGCAATTCCTTCTCAATTACTGTACCTCTGTTTACATCGTAGAACTCTTAGAAGGCCGGTGTACTAACACAATAACATTCATAAGAAAATTTAATTTGACTTTGGAACTAGACCTACACGCGCTAAAGTAACACTTCGCGTTCGTATCGTTACATTGTCGAAGCGTAACTATAGCGCGAAGTTAGCACCGCTCGGAGCTCTCAAGCCTTTTAGATGTTTTTTACGAAGTTCACGGCTTTTGAATTGTCAACGGTTCGCGTGAGGGGAAGAGCCGTCGGGCCCGATCACTTAACCGTAGTGCATTTGAACGATTAGTGTAAAGTTACCACGCCTGTTTACCGGGCGTTAGACGAAAATATTATTTTTCTTAGATCACATTATATTGTAAAGTGGTAAATTATAGGAGTACGTGCGTATGGTGCGTGCGCAGGGTTGTCGAGTTACAAACAAATTGATATTTTTTTACGAGCGTCCCGAAGTGCGCAACGCACCAACGCACGTATTTGTTATGTTTAAGAAGAAATATCTATTGTCTATTCCAAGGGTTGAATACTACCGACACTTTTTTATATTACAATAATTATAGAAATTATTACTGAATTTTGAGTTTTCTTTTTGTAGCTCCTTGAAAATGATTTCGTTAGGTATTTTAAATTGTAAACACATACCTAAAATGTCCCAGAATACATACATTTAAAAAAAAGCGCCTAAATGAATTTACATCCTGACGTCGATTTCAGTTAATTAAATGAAATTTAATTGTCTGACGTAGACTGTATACTTATAATCGTGTAAAGTAATACGCATAAAGTCAATTGTGGCAATTTTTCATTAATTTTTGATGAATTCTTTGAAACCGCCAAAGAATAGGACTTTTATTACGCTACTTGAAGAAGGTTGTTCGCAAACTCGTGACTCGGCGGCTAAATGTAAACCGTTCAACTGTCCAGAGGACTTGACAAGGGTATCAAGAGACCGCCTGCTCAAAAGAAGACTCGAGTCGGGAAAAAAACGATGCACGAAAGATGTGACCGCTTCGTCGCGAATCGTAGGGCGTCAAGTGTGGACCATAAGAAATAAAAGGAGTAGAAGTTAGGTTGTAGGCGGTCAGTAGGAGGATTTTGGCTGCCGTTATCAGAAGTTACCGCCCCACCCGGGGACCTACATTACTCCGTGAGCACCGTGTTGGTCGACTTCAGTTTGCTCGAAACTGTGCTTCTGGAGGACTGGAATAAAGTATTATTTTCTGATAAACTGCTGCGAAGACCACGGAAATGCTATGCGGAAATGTGTTTCGAAAAATCACTCCTCATGGCGGAAGCTCCGTTATGTTTTGGGAAAAAGCGTACGGAATTAGTTTTCGTAGAAAATGGAACATTAAATCATACACAATAGATATCGTAGTAGGTACATCCCGCATTGTCGGCTGTTGATAAAGATTCCATTTTTTTAGACAATGCTCGCCCACTCCGTTCTGTGGACGTGGAAGCTTACTTACAAGAAGTTGGGATGCGTCGTTGGGATTGGCCAGGTCGAAGTCCTTCCAATTTAGTATGTCTGGGTTGTTCTAAAGAGACCAGTAAGATCAGTCCAACCTGCTCCACAAAACACGGAGCTAAAAAGAGTCATTGCAGAATAGAGGGAACGTATTTCTCAAAACGTTATTAAAAACATCGTGGTCAGCATTCCTAGAATGTTTCAAGATGTGATTTTGGCAAGAGGAGGTCACACTGGGTATTAGGTTTTTGCATTTGTAATTTTATTTAATATATGAGAGAGAAAAAACTTCTCGAACTTTGCCGATCACTTCTTATTGTTTGGCCGTGTACATTGGTTTTAAAGAAATTGTCTAAAATGACAATCATAATCATAATCGTGTAATACGTGTATTATAAGTATACGGACGTCAGACAATTAAATTTCACGAAAAATTAAAAGTGTTTAGAACGTTAACTTCCTTAGGTGAAAAGAGTTTTAGTGCGTAATTTAGCTGAAAATGAAACAAAAGGGAGTTAATAAAACCCAATTAAAACATTAAAGTTTATTATCTAATCTAATCTTTATTCCTAACATGTTTTTTCTTTTTCTTCTTGTTCCCGTGTTCTATTAAGTCATCTATCTCTTTGCTGTCATCACCGAGTCGCTTTTCACCACTAAAATAATAAAATAATTTTGAATCTCGGAATATATGAAGAGTATACATTAATTAACCTTCGACCAAAAATTATAAAAAACCTAACACAAATTAATTCAAAATATTTGTTAATAGTATAAATTTGTTTTACCTTTTCACAGAAACCAGATGCTTTTGATTGGACGTCGTAAGGGCTTGTCCCCAATCCAGGTCACTTCCCTTGATCCGATACTGGGCGAGATCCTCTCCCATGAGTTTAGACAACTCTTTACGTTGTTTGCGTTCCAACTCCTGCAAATATGAATAAATTTTAAAAGAACTTGTCAAACACTTCCGTAATATATTAGAGAAATTTAAATACAAAATTATGACCGTGAGATTTTATTAAATTATTTTAATAATTCTAACTCTAACTGAAAGGGAACTACGTGGAAATTTCAACTACTAAACCGATGTTGATGAAACTTGGACTGTACCTTATGGTGGATACTTTTCAAATCAAGAGCATACCCCACATACACACCATCACACATCATAGCCAAATTAGATATTATTTAGTTAAATGTATTTAATATTTTTTATTCTTTCCTCTCTTTTGTATATGTTTCAACCTTCTTGTAAATAATATGTATTCCATCTTTGGCTATATTTATGTTTTGTTAGGATTACGAAATAAATGGACCGACTGTGGCTTCCTGAAATTTGCGAACAAACACACACTTATGCACGCACACTTGGAAGCCTAGACACATCATACTCAATATTTTCCAGCAATATCACACACATACTAATCGACCTAATAAATATTTTTTTAAGTCGGTTAAAATATAGTGTGAAATTTAATAACGAATATCTTAAGTTAGTAAAACAGACAAAATATAGATAATCTTTCAGAAATGGCTTCTCATCTTGGGTGAGACCACTGGAGATATACCAATCAATAACTCTAGAGAAATTTTTATTCGTAATGTTAAAAAATGCTAAATATAATCGCATCGTCACCTTTTTATAGCCGTGACCGCGCTTTTTGAACCTTAGGTAGTTCGTTCGAATCCTGACTATGGAATAATATACTTCTTATCTAAGTGGGCTAATCAGGAAGGAAGAAATCGTTAGCCAAGAACAAAAATACTTGTCGCGTTATTAAAACACATTTCCATACAATCATTTAATTTTCCTGCATACAAAATAAACCAAAGAGCAAAATGCAAGTACCTTGGCCGCCTTCGACAACTCGTCTTGGAGGCTTTGTTTGATGGGTCCTCCAGTGCTGACGTCAGCGATTTTATCTTCGATACCGATTTCCTTGGCAACGGTGTTTTCTAATATAATGTTGAGAGCCGAATTTATCTTTTTACAGGCTTCGTAGAATTTCGCTAAAATCTGGGAACCGGGGAGGCCAAGCTCCGATGCGATATCGTCCACATCTTTCATTTGGAATCCCATTGCTATGAAAAGTACCTTGAAAAAAAAATATTATATCCACCAAACTGCAGAGATGTCTGCCCCATGCCCCATTACGTTGGTTAAGAAAAATAAATAATATTTATTTACTTGTTACTTTAGTATATTATACTAAAGTAACAAGTAAATTTAGGAAATTCTTGATAATTACGTTATTTCTCTTTTATTTTTTGTATATAAGGGGGCAATCGAGCCTATGAGACGCCCCATGGCCACCGCACCACACATTTTAGGGTGCGTTTCCGGCCTTTGAGGGAGGAATATGCGCGTTATTTAAATATATAAAAAATTGGATTTAATAACAACTTTGTAACATTGTTCTTCCTTCTAAAGTAAAATATATCTTTTACATATTATTTAACTATTTATGATCAATCAGCATTACTAGCATTTTTTATTGATATTAGTAAAAAGTTGAAAACTCAAGTGTAAATACAAAAATATTCCACCTGTTGTACAGCATCCAATTTGAGTGAGATCTTCGTGTGGAAGATGAGATATGCCAGAGGTGCTATGAGATCTGTGATCAGCCTGTAGTCGGCTTGTTGCCGACAATACGACTCTACACGAGAGAGGTCGTGCCCGGAGAGATGTTGCTGGATCAGCTCTTTTGTTGCTACTGGAATGTTAAAAAATCTGTTAATATAAATTTTATAGTAAAAAGTGTCTTGTAATAATGTAAAAGTTCGATAAACGCTGAAAATTATTTTCTTCCAAATTCCAGAATTTATTAATTTATTTTAATTTGACGAATATTTAAATGATCCTAATCCTTGGGATTGATTTGCTCCAGTTCAAACAATTTGAATAACTCAAAACTTGGCGATTTAAAAGAGTGGCAGAGAGTTAAACAACTGTTACCTCAATCCCTCTTCAAAGCATCGGATCTATTCTTAAATATCGATAACTGTAAATGTTTCATCCTTTTTTTATTAATATGTATTCCATCTTTATCCATATATAATTTATGATAGCTGTAGGAATACGAAATAAATAGAATAAAAATTCCTGGATTCCAGAAATACACAAGAGAACTGAGAACTAAATTTGGATAAGTACTTCACTGAAATTGTAATCTTTGATCATAATTAATTTAGTTATGAATAAAGTATAAATATTGCCAGTAAATATAAATAAAACTTACACGGCTTTTCAATTTTGACGCTGTCATTGAGAAGGGTAGAGAGTGCCAACGCAGCGGGGAGTTTTCTGAATGATCTCCCCAAAAGTCGGGAAAATCTCTTTTTGAAGTCAACACTGTAGGCGGCCAACCAGGACGTATCACCCATCGATCGAAGCATTATACACGAATGTTCGCCCGTTAATTCGTTTGATTTTTGACTGTAAATAAAAATAAAAAATTAACGAAGATAAAAGGCGTGGTATTGTTATTTATTTAGATTATTAATAATAAAAATAATACAGTGGCGCTAGAGCCCTTTATATTGCGTCTTGGCCTTCCGTAACATCTATCCGTAACCCTTCAAGGTACGACCTCAGGGATGATAGACGCAATTATATTGGGACCTTACTATCACATTATAATTTTTTAAGGTCCTTAGTGGTAGAATTGGCTTAGCACTTACGAGCCTTCTGGCAATGTGAGTGCCCATGGGCGGCGACGGTCCATGTCGGAGAGACTGGGTCGCAATTGCTTACAGCGCCATTTACGCGCTATTTGCGCACTGGCTGAATTCACATAATTGCTTTATTTATAATTTGTTATAAAAAGGTTTAGGTTTTATGTTTTCTTGATTTTTTAAATACATATTATATTTTTCGTTTAGTTTATATATTAATAAGTTTTCTATTGTATTAGTATTATGTTACTGTAAAATAGTAAATAAGGAAATAAATAAATAATTATTTCTGGGGCTAACCACTACCTGCCCTATAGATTCTGAATTTTGAATCAGAATCTATTGTAAACAACTTTTAAATTTTTGCTAGAATATTATTTAAAATCTAAATTAGTAAATCTTAAAGGGTCCATATATACCTTAAATATACCGGAACATATTTCTGTGATTTCCAAAATTTCAAGAGATTTTCTGTAAGTCCAAAACTGGTACCCAAATAGTCCAAATGCTCAGCCTTTACTTCTGTTAAACGACGTAGGAGGGTCGGTGGTTTTGCCCTGGAAAAAGTTTTATTGTTATCTTGATAACATATTTTTTTAGGTTTTTTTTTTTAAATTTAAATCAGCTATATCCACTTTTAAATCGATTCAGTGGTTTTCAAGATATGAGTATGCATAAAAGTAATATTAAATAAACCTTGCTCATGACGAAAAACAATGTATTGAGAACGAGAGATGTACTGCCCCAGTATCCCATACCCCCAATTACCTAGGTACAATGGTCTCCGTGTGAAGCGATTCATTCTGTGCGTTCTGCTCATCATCACCATCACTGGCTGCTTCATCAAGACATGGAATGTCACCGGAGTAGTATGCGGCCAGTTGTTGTAAGGCCCGCTTGCCATAACCCATCTAAAATAATTTGGTTAGGGAGATAATTTTTTAAGAAATGTGTTTCTTTGCTTTTTTAAGTATATAAAATATATATGGTCTAATATTAAAAGGTTTCATCGGCAAGCGATGATTTCTTTTTTTTAAATTTAATTCCTATTAGTATTATGTTTACGCGAGGGATTTTCCTATAAAGAAGAATTATAGACACAAAAATATATCTGCCCCATACTCTATTGGGGGTGATGGAACAACGAAAAGGAAGACCTTATCGCTTTTATTTAGAAAGAAATATACACAGCCGGGGTTCAATCGTCCGTCCACCTTGAGAATACTTTAGCACTGCTAACACTACTACATGTAAATATGTTCAAATGCGTTCGTAAAACTACGTACAAACAGTCACGTACCCGTTGATACGAAGGATGTGTGGCGATCCTTACAATTCTAGCTCCAGACAACTTTGGAAAGTCCTTATCACCGAATTGTTCACAAATGTTCCATGGTATCAGGTCTCCTGCGGCTTTGCGACCGCGTCCGAGGCTGTCTTTTACCGATCTGGGGAAAAATACTTGTAACATATAGACTACATTATTATTATGGGGTCATGCTGCTGATTTCAAAACTATTTTCATCCTGCAGAAGAGGGCTGTTCGTGCAATCTATAATTTAAAATGTAGGGAATCTCCGAGAGATAAATTCAAGGAAATTAATATACTTACCTTTCCCTCGCAATATATTTATGAAAATATTATGTATGTATACAAAAATAGTGATAAGTTTACTAGAATAGAACATACGCACAATGTTAATACACGGAACAAACGCAGGCTGCAATTTCCCCGTACTAGACTATCTAAAGTTAGTAATTCTTTTTTGGGGAAAGGGATAGTCTTCTTTAATAAAATCCCAGAGGCTCTTTTAAAAGGCAGAGAGCCTTTTAATAAATTTAAGAAATGTATTAACGAAAAGCTGTGTCAAAACTACTCGTTCTTCTAGCAACTGTAGTAATAACGAATAGTATCTTGGTCATAAAATAAAAAACTCAGAAAGTTGTATAAATAAAATAAAAATAAGTATTGTAACGGAAAGAAATAAACCTATTTTGATATTTTATTTTTTAATTGTGATGAAATATAACTGAAACTCCAATGTGTTGCTGAAATATTAATAGAACAGCAGACTAAATGCTGCATTTTGAGTTTAATAAAAGTTCTCCAAAATTTTATTCGAATTCCTAATATCCACAAATGTTCTAACAAAAATTCTCGTAAAAAATCAAATGACAATCCAAAACTCGCGTCTTTTTTCACAGACTAACAAACTTTCAACACACACAACTAACAATAAACAATCCAAAAGAAATAGAATTATTTCTGTATACATAGTATATACATACTGACCTGTCAGACAAATTGCCTTCAAGACACAACTGTATGACGCACAGTACTTCTGGCATCGAGGTGGCTTTTGGTGGAGTCGGCGCGAGTAATACGAAGAGGCAATGCGCAGGCGCATCTGCTAGTAGTTGGAGGTCGTTTGGACTGTTCTAGATTTAGAAAAAAATAATTCAAACGATCAGACATTTCTTCATCTACTAAGGATTTTTAATATGAAATTTAAAATCAGTTTTCAAAGTAAAAATAAATACAATTTTTGACTTATGAGCGAATACTGATTTAACAATCTTTTGATTCAAGAGAAATTTAACTACTATTAATCTAATAGGCAAGTAGGTGATCAGCCTCCTCTGCATGACACACGTCGTCGACTTTTTGGGTAAAGCAAATAGAAACATCCGTGGATCGAACCTACGACCTCAGGGATCAGAATCGCATGCTGAAGCCACTAACTAGGCCAACACAAAAATAGAAGTAAAAATAATACATATTGTATAATTATTGTAATAACAGTCTCATTAAAACTAAATCAACTGAAATGTATTTAAAACTATTATATACAAAGTGACATCCGACTGTGACCATTGCGATGATTTGGTTTCTATTTAAATTTCTAATTAAAAAAAAACATATTTAATATCTGTACCTTATAATGACTAGACACATAAATAGCCACCAGCCGATGAAGGAACGCTTCAGCAGCCTTATGGTAGCAAAACAAAGCATCTCTGTTCACGCGTAACAGTTCGCAGGCGGCAGGGGGTGGAGCTCCCGCGCCAGGAGTTGGCGGAGGAGCCTCCAGGCAGAGGACGGAGTTTAACCAGCGCTCTATAGAGTCACCGGCACGGTAACGAATAGGTTCTTCTAGTTTGATCTAGAAAAATTAAAATTTTAAAAATCATATACATCTTTTTATCGTTACACAAATACGCACTATACGGACTTGCACGTTTCGCGCGTATGTGTGCGTGCACGCAGGTAACTGACTGGTACGTGAGTCAGTGCGCTTGGTGACTTGTTATTGGATGCTCATATGTTAACTTTTCATATTATTTTTGTAATCGTAACAAAAAATTAAATTAATTAATTGATTTAAAATGGTGGTTATTTTATCCACCCCATAATATTGTCTACTATGAAGGAAAAATAATTTATTTACCTAGATAGGTTAACTATTATCCATGTCCCAGAATTGCGTGGACCCATATCTCAAAAACTAGTGAACCGATTTTCATGAAACTTAGGATGATCTTCATACGAGTAGTACTAGTTGTTTCTGAGTAATTTGTGGATAAATATGCAAACATTTATAATTTAACACCTGAGCATGTTTTGTTTTTAATTTGAAATATAATCTATACATACATATAGGTCAAACTGATAACGCTTCTTTTAAATCCGGATAAAATACATAGAATAACATTTCAAAAATATAATGTATAAAATCAGATTTTTATCCAATTGTTTATCACTTCGGAGACATTAATTCAAAAGTGACTACTAAAATACAATTTTATTATAATTATTTTTTATTTCAAAGTATTTTTAGTAGTACCTACTATGACACTTCATCGTTAAGTAACTTTATATTTTGGTAAAATATAAAATACTTAAAAACTGAATTGATCATATACATAGAAAATACTGCTATCAATGTATTATTTAATTACAAATATAAAAAAATAAGTACACCCTACTTAAAGTCACTAATAAAAAGTAAACTTATTAAATTTTACTCCAATAAAACCCAACTTGAGAGTCAACTTACCGGTGGAGGGGCATTATGTTCATTTTGTAGTTGTGCGAAGAGTTTCAAAGATAGAGCCCTTCCCGTTCCTTCATAGCCTGAAACTGTCGAGGATAGAAGGGCTAAAGGAGCCTTGGTGGCTGCAGCAGCCACGTGTTCCAGAGGAATGGCAGCCGCCTCGTCCACAAGTACCAGGTCAGCAGCAGATAGCAACGAGTGGTCGTCTGGGGTTATGTACTGAAGTAACAAGAAGATATATTTAATTTTACACACTATACTAGAAAACTTTTTACTATTTTACTATAGAACAACGGTAAGATGGCTCATCTGATGTTAAGCAGCATAAAAATAATGAAGAAATATACGAAGCATAATTAAATAATAATATACAATAATATATACTTATTATTTTTTAATATTTAAATATTATAAGCGATACGTTTTATTTTATAATAATTAATAAAATATATTTAACACTATTATTTTTAATTACCTGAATAGTCTGCCTCGAATTTCTCGCAACGTTGACTCTCACAATGGCCTTCTTAAAATCTGGATTCGTTGATCGAACAATATTGTAATCTATGTGTTCCTGGTACAAGCAGGCGTCGAGACCCTTGAGGACGAACTCAAATAACGTAATCAAGTTCTCTGGGTGTGGAGACGTGACGTAGATGTTAACGTAGCCCAGTGACACCGCAGCCGCAACGGCCAGGCCTAGACACGCCGACTTACCACGACCACGACTGGCTGTAAGGCAGTGGGGTGGTCTGAAAAAATATTTTATTATAAAAAAAAACAATAATTAGAAGGACTTATTTAAAATTTACGAATAAAAACGTTCTTCGACCACGATTGCTAAGAAGCACTGGTATCGTTCATATTCACCTCAAGTAAATAATGTAAAAAATTAATAATAAAAGATAGGTGTACGGTAACCATGTAGCAGGTATCAATATATCTAATATATAATATTCTCGTGTCGAGGTGTTTGTAGTTAAACTCCTCCGAAACGGCTTGATCGATTCTCATGAAATTTTGTGTGCGTATTTGGTATGACTGAGAATCGGACAACATCTATTTTTCATCCCCCTAAATGTTAAGGGTAGTCCATCCCTAAATTATTCTTTTTTAATTTTTAGATAATTTTTTAATTTTTAATTTTGTTATGATACAGCATTAAAAAATACATACAACCCCTAATTTTCACCCGACCACGATCAACCCCTTTTTTTATTATAAATGATATACATGGCAAAACGACGTTTGCCGGATCAGCTAGTCTTATATATAAAATTCTCGTGTCACAATGTTAGTTACCATACTCCTCCGAAACGGCTCAACCGATTTTTATCAAATTTTATATGCATATTCAGTAGGTCTGAGAATCGACTACTATCTATTTTTCATACCCCTAAGTCATAAGGGTTGTCCACCCCTAACATATAAAATGTTTGTTTGTTGTTGTTGTTTTTGGACGAAATTTTAATTTTTAATTTTTTTATAATGTGCCATTACAAAAATACATACAACCCTAAATTTTCTACGATTAACCCCTATTTTTTATTATAGTAGATAGTTATTTTTATTGAACTAAAATTTTTTTTCTAGAAATAATATAGGTACATGGCAAAACAAAGTTTGCCGGGTCAGCTAGTAAATATATAGGTAAGGTTGTAGGAGATAAACTATGGATCTACTTAACCAATTTCGAAAATTCTTTTACCAATAGCACGTCACGTCATTTGTGGGTGTCATATAACAACCCGAAATTAGACAATTTTATCGTGGTAGTCGGAAAAACCTGACGCTGCTTTAACCATGGGATGAACCAATTAATCAAAATGACCAAAAACTGTTGGTAATTAGTTCAAAAAAAAAGATCTGTTCTTAAATAAAACAAAAATTCAAATTTATCGATTTAAGTCTAGTCCACACTACACTTTCAATAGTAGATCATGATGACCTAGTGCAACCCAACTTGGAACGCCGAGTAAAGGAAAGTTGGAACTAACCTTCTTTACCGAAAACCTTCACCCATTAAGATGGCTATTATCTACTATAAGCTAAAGAAATCTCTTGTTTATAAGTAAAATAAAAATTCTTCATACCTAGACTGTTTGTCGGCTAATGTATCAATGAGTGCTACTAACGCGGTAGCTTGATCGTACGTTCTACACAACGCAACCAGCGGTCCTGCCGGCGGACTGTCTGATAGAGATTGTATTAGTTCTGTCAGTTTTGGATTTACTTTCTGCAATGAAGATCTTTATTAATACAAGGGCATAATAAAGTTCTTATGAAAATTCAATTATGTATACAAAAGACACTCATCAGAATAAGAAATACTGGTACAAAAACTGTAAATATATTATTAATAAATGTTTTACAAATATGGAAAAAAATGCATGCAAAAGAGGCTCCTAAATGTTAGTATCATATATCCTTTTTTGCACAAAAATGTTCAGATATATTCAAGCCTCAAGGAAAACAGGAATAGGGGGTTTATAAGTCTAGGATACAAGAACAAAAGATATTTCTAACATAAATTACAAATACCAATACTGTATATACTTTACCTCTGGCACTGCATTTACTGGATCTACTTGTGCTGTTTTAGAGGATATTGGCAGTACATTGAGTGAATCATCTAAAACCAGACATCGGGGATTGTCGGCCAAAGATAGTAGAAACCTTTCATTGAATCTATTCACAACGGTGTCATGTGCTTCCGTTTTAAACCTGAAGATACAAAAATGGGTTAAAAAAGGGAATTTTAAAGTAAGAAAATAATAATTTGTTTTATATAAAATCTTACCGTGAATGTACATCCATAGTTATTGAGTGTAACTGCCTCAATGAGTTCATGGATTTCAATAGGAATATTATTAATCCACCTCCTTCTACTGTTTCTATTGTTCGTGCCATTAAATTTGGTGTAAGAGCCTCAAAATCCTGTAATTAGATGTATATTTATAATCACATCTTGTTTTGACATACCTAATAACAATTGTTCCAGATTAATTAGATTAAAGTTACAGAATAATAAAAATTATTTCTTGATAAAATATTTAAAGGGTAAATATAAATAATAGCAGAAATAATGGTTTTATAAACATACTTTACAGTCTACAAAAGTAAATAAAAATAACCTATAATTCAACCCACATAATTTAATTTCAGACCATTCAATAACTTGTACAATGAAATAAGAAATTAATTTAAAATAAATTGTGTTACCTGTAAAACACAAACACCATAAGTCTGTCCGAGCATAGCATGACTTTCAGAATAGTATCTACCATGGATGGTTGTAGCTACTCGGAATGAATCAAACAGAGATTCTTCTGATACTTCTAATTTACCTGCTGCTATCTTTTTTGCTCTTTTACGTCCATGACTACAATATAACAATTGTATAAAATTATTTAAATTAGTTGCATCAAACACCAAGTAATAAAGCAGCAATATTATACAATTTATAGAATAGAAGAGTTAAAGCCAATAATATATTTTAACAGCTACATGTAATATTGTTATGATAAAACCATACAAAATAATTGTTAATTCAAGTTGCAGTGAAAACTATACTCACTTGCTAATAGCTTCATCCTTATTCTTATAACACCATAACACTGTCGGTCTTGCTTTGACTGTTGATTTCACTAACATATCATACAAAATCGGTACCTGAAAGGCGCAGAGGAATAGAGATGTAACAGTTGACAACTTCTTCGAGAGGACTTTAATCGATCTATTGAACTTACTAATTGATAATTTACTGTTATTATCGTCAATTATGTAAAACGTTTAAGTTAACTTACTTGATCTCTGCTTTTATCACCCACAAGTAAAATCATTGTTCGGTGTCCAAGTTTTACTCCATTTTCTATCATTACACGAATACGATTATCAATTTTCTTCTTAACCATTTTGTTCTATTTTATTATGTTTTTATATTATTGTTAAGAATAGGAAGTGATTTATTTTATATTTTCAGGATATCATAACCTAAAAACACATGCTAATGTTTTGAACTTTTGAGTTTTGACATTATGTACTAAGTACATTGTTGAAGTCTTTTACAATTTGTTTTGACAGGAGACCTCTCAGAAAAAAGTATTCCCCGAGATTATTTGACAGACCTTTAAGTTTAAATAATTAAATAGGAAAATGATTCAATATGAGATTTGGAATTAAACTAAATAAAAACTCTTATGATTATTAGGAACGACAACATAGTGAGATACGTAGTTGTGATTAAATACAAAATATATATTAAAGCGTTTAAAATCATTGACATTACCACAAATTAAAAAAAAACATTTCATAAGAAGTCTAGATTATCTTCGCTTTTGGTTTTATAAATATGTATAGTAATAAGTCTGCCAAGATTTTAGTACTTTTTATGAATTGTTCATTTCAACTAAGATAGTGGGCAGCACTTCGGACCCCACAAATTTTAGACCCATATCTGTGCTGCCGGCTTTGAGTAAAATCTTTGAAAAAATCATTCTTGAACAGTTATTGATACATTTTAATAATAATAAAATTATGCATAGCCAGCAGTATGGTTTTACAAGAGGTCGCTCCACAGCAGATGCTGGCATTCAATTAATTTCCGAGATTTTAAATGCTTGGGAAAATTCTCATGATGCCATTGGAGTTTTTTGCGACTTATCAAAGGCTTTTGACTGTGTCCATCACGAAATCCTAATCAAGAAACTTCAACACTATGGCATTGGCGAAAAAGCGCTAAATCTTGTGGAATCATACCTGAGCGATAGAATTCAAAAGGTAAATGTAAATGGAGCTATATCACAGGGATCCTCTGTTACTATGGGAGTACCGCAAGGCTCCATACTTGGTCCCTTCTTATTCCTCGTCTATATAAATGACCTGCCATTTCTTGTAAAGGAGCTTCACGAGATAGTACTGTTTGCTGATGACACTTCGCTTTTATTTAAAGTGAAACGACAAAATCCATCACTTGATAACGTAAACAGTGCCATCTCCAGTGTAGTTCACTGGTTTAATACAAATAATCTTAAGTTAAACGAAAAGAAGACAAAATGTGTTAAATTTGTAACTACAAATGTAAAAAGTAGTCATTCTCAAATAATAATTAAAGACGAGGAAATAGACTTTGTTGATAATGCGGTGTTCTTGGGAATTACTTTAGATAGTAAACTCCAGTGGGGCCGACACATAGAAGGTCTTTCGAATAGGCTAAGTTCCGCAGCGTTCGCAGTAAAAAAGATACGCGATCTTACGGATGAGAACACAGCAAAGCTTGTTTATTTCAGCTATTTTCATAGTATAATGTCATATGGTGTTATTTTGTGGGGTAATGCAGCTGACATTAAATCGATATTTGTAGTGCAAAAGCGGGCTATAAGAGCGATCTGTGGGTTGTCCCCGGGAGTCGGTCCGAAGCAAATTTAAGGAATTACATATTTTGACTCTGGCAAGTCAATACATTTATGAGAATATTTTGTATGTGCGGAAAAATATAGATATCTTTAAAAAGAATAGTAGCTTCCATAATTATAGTACTCGTAATAAAGACAAAATTAGCGCACCAACCAGAAGGCTGCATAAAACGAGTAATTCTTTCCAAGGCAATTGTATACGTTTTTTCAACAAAATCCCTAGTGAGATACAAGCGTTGTCAATAAATAAATTTAAATCATACATTAAAGTAAAACTGCTTGCTAAGGCTTATTATAATATAAATGAATATTTAAACGATCCTAGTGCTTGGATATGAGTTGCTCCAGTATATATTATAGGTAACACGACTGAATCTCTCGGCTGCATTTCCAGACTCTGGGGCGATCGTCAACATCCACGACTGTTTTAATGTAAAGTGGGAACAAACCGTGATCCATGTGGTATCCAATTATTTCAGTATTATTATTATTTTCTTATGTAGCCAAGTCCACATTTCAAAGATCGTCATGCTCGCTTAAATGTCATTGTTTGTGGCGGCGTCCATGCGTCGGGTTGTCTCTCTCTCTAAAATATGGCGAGGGGGCCGATGGCTGGCCATGCGTCATACTCGTGAACGGGTGCTACTTGTGGTGACTGGTCGTACTTGAATTCGTGTATGCGGTGATGTTAATTATTTCGACTATGTGTTTGCGTGTTGTTCCCACGAGAATGTAAGTGCGTGCTCCTATTTCACCATGCCTCCTGCTGATAGGGGACAAGTCTTTGTTTTTATTTATGTTATTATTATTAATTACTTAAAATGTCATGTGGAACATGGTGTAATGGTTGCAGCTCCTTACAAACGTTGTAAAAAAAAAAAAAAAAAAAAACATGGCGATTAAAAAGAGTGGCGGAGAGTTTATTGCCAGTTCTTCTCTTCCGTTCTACGCCCTTGATTTGAGAACTGGCAGTAAATGTAAAATTAGAAGCATTAATATTTATTTCTTTAATGACGAATCACAAGTGTACATTGTGTTACCTACGTGAATAAATGATTTTTGAATTTTGAATTTGAATTTGATATCATGATACTAATACATGCAGACAATAATCTTAAAACATGATTAACAAATTTTTAAGACCATTGCAGATTCTTCTTATCCAGTAGGTACACACTTGACAGAGCAGTCGTGATCGCTATGTAGTAGTAATTTTATAAGAAACAGATGTGATGCGCTTCACCACGTTTCGCCATCGTTGCCTATTATTAGCATCCTGCTGCAATCATTTTTTTTTTTTTTTTTTTTGCGTGGGGAAATGCGTTAAGCATACCCTCCCGCGGCACGGTTGACCTTGGGGGGAAGGGTTATGTGGGACTCGCACAACAGTGCATACCCACTAAAACCCCACGGCGCCACCAGCAATCGCCCGGGGCAGGACACGGTAACAGCGTGGCCTTGTCCGCATCCAGCCACGCGATCAGCCGTTAGTATCACGGTCCTCTACGGCCACGAATGATGTGGAATGGACCTTGGCACAGCAAGGGCCTTTCACATCGGCCAAGTCACCCTGTTTATAAAGCTGGGGGAGGTCGGGCACGATGCTTGCAGGGATGCGTCAGCATCCCTTCTTTTCGACGCATGGACCCCTGTTCCCCCGCTGGAGCAACTGCGTGCCCAGGATTACACACGGGGTTGCACGGTGCAACGGCGGCGCTGTGGTCTCCTACGGCGACGCGGGTGGGCTGCAGGATCATCCTCCCTGGCCCTTTCCGCCTCTTCCTTTTTGTGCATGACGTCTTCACAGTGCTGCAATCATTGAGTGAACCTCCTACAACAGACTTGATCTGGTTCGTCCAACGCGTAGGTGACCTTCCGCGCGGTCTAGTGGCTTCCATTTTCCTTTGGACAACAAGGCGTTCTATGGACTGATCAACACGCCCAGATACATGTCCGAAGAATGTAAGGATGGGAGATTGAACTCTTGAGAACAGACGCTGCTTAATACCAAGTTCTTGAAGTATGGAGACGTTTGTACGAAATTCAGTCCACGAAATTTCTAGATATTGCATTGCAGATTATTTAATATGTCTTCAAACCTCGCTTGGAAAGTCAACAACAACATGAGAGTGTTTGTTAACGTAGTCAAATGATTTTCCTTAAACAATCATCGTAACGTTAATCCACGTTTGTAATAGGGCCGTAAATATTTTATATCTTATTTTGAGAGCTATAACCACGAATGAATTAGACCATAAGTTGAATTAGAATCAATTAGAAAATTTTAATCGGTCCTCAACAAGATTGGATTTTTTTTTAAATGGCTCTGACACGGTTTGTGCATTAGCCAGCGTCAAGTATAAGATTTTTATAATTCATGCTTTTTGCCTTAGAAATTTGACCATGTCCTCCATGTACGGTTTAGGCACTCGCCCGGTACCGCACAACCCTCCCAAAGGCCGAGAACAAATTTAAATTAAATTAAAACTTGCCCTCGAACCGGGAATCGAAACAGGTACCCCTCATCTAGCTGCCACTTAATAAGACCGCTAGGCTATGAGGCCCTTCAAGTTTTTTATTGAAGTTATACTTCTTTAGGCGCGTTATGAAAAATTTATGAGAGTGAAATTTTACGATGCGCGCGCACCGTGACACAAAGTTGTCAGTGTGATTATAGCGTGCGCGAGCGAGATGGGAATAAGACAATCTACAAGTAAAAAGAAATAGAATATGCGTGAAGTTAGCAGCTATGCCAAGAATTTTGAATGAACATAATGACATTTAGCTTTTAAACAAATAAAGGAGTTTTAATTATTTTTTCAAAGAAATTTAGCAATCTTTTTTCACAAAGACCTATTGTTACTTAGTTAAAAGGTTATGAAACATACCTATTTATTAAATTGAATGAATAATATAATAAAATAATAAATAATAATGATTATTATTAATAATATTAGTTAATAATTGAATAATATACTAAATATTAAATATTGTTAAATTATTAACGCTAAATATTTATTATTAATTATTTAATATTTTAAAAAAATAAAGAAAGCCAAAGAAGTATAACTTAACATAAGTACACGCACCATTTTTTTATTTATATCGCTCTGGCACGGTTTGTGCATTAGCCAGCGTCAAGATTTTTATAATTCGTGCTTTTTGCCTTAGAAATTTCGACCATGTCCTCCATGTACGGTTTAGGCACTCGCCCGGTACCGCACAACCCTCCCAAAGGCCGAGAACAAATTTAAATTAAATTAAAACTTGCCCTCGAACCGGGAATCGAAACCGGTACCCCTCACCTAGCTGCCACTTAATAAGACCGCTAGGCTATGAGGCCCCCAAACCCTTCAAGATTGGATTCATATGTTTTGAAATTACATGCACAGACTACTTACATGTGTGTTGAAGTCCCGATCACATTTTCATATAACTGCTAGTGTCACTGTCATCTATCAAAGAATGAAGTTCGGTTAAGTAAACCTACGGCTACAAATCCAATTATTCTGAGTAACTTATTGATAAGTTTTGAAATTTATTGTAATTCCTTTTGATTGTAAATTGTTTAAATAATTATTTTCTATAACATGGCTTTTTGATCGATTACTAAACTCAAGTTATCTTTACAGTATTAAAATAAGTGCAAATTTGGTATCGACTGCCGACGCTTAGCGTCTCAGCGATGCCGCTAATAGAAATAAATACAAAAATGGGTAAGACTCAAATAAACACCAAGTCAAGGGATTACCTTAACGACAAAGAAACATTTCTTAAAGAATTGAAGCAGTTTAATGAAAGTAAAAAGTAAGTAAAGTGCATTAATTTTGCCCCATACTATGATATTGGCAGTTTCATATTACATATTCTATTCTTGTTTTGTTACAGTATACCATACAGAGTGCCAGTAGTGAATGGTGTTGAAATTGATTTATATTTACTTTATGCCTCGGTTCAACAAAAAGGTGGCTTGAGTAGAGTAAGTTTAAATGACCATTTGTTGTTCTTATTATTTATTATAGTTATGTTTTTATGAATTAAAACTTCATAATTAAGCTTTTCAACTAACTTCAATGTCCTGTACTATACTATTCAGATCTCTTATAGTATTAAATAAATATAATAATATTGTTGATACTTTATAACTATTAAATTTTTAAGGTCAATCAAACAGACACATGGGAATCATTTCTGCGATTACTCAAATTGCCCTACCCGTGTGTAAATGGGTCAACACTTTTAAGAAGGATCTATGGCATGTATCTTGAAAAGTGAGTTCATATAACATCATAATGTAAAACTCTTTAAATTATTTAAGCTGCTGACAATGTAAGGAAAAACACATTGTGTAAATGTCTTTTGGATTTTTTGTTTTTACCTAGATTTTTGAGTCTCAAACCTTGGTCTCCTCTCAGTGTTTTCATGCATTTGCATTGCTTCATTCATAAAGCACCATTCAAATGGCCAAGAATAAGTTCTTATAGATATAGTGCATATAGATAGAATAAGTCATTGTTCCAAAGCCAGGATTTGAATGCATTCTTTATCTTACAATGTACCCTTTTTATAGAAATGAGTAAATTTTATTGTTTGGGTTTATATAAAAGACAGAGTTATTTGTACTTTACATATATAGTAATTCATAAACAAGAAGAAGCTTACTAGCTTTATGTATTTTTTTCCCACAGTAAAGTAACATGGGATATACCTGTTCTGATATCAGGTGAGACCAATTTTTTGACTGAGGTACTTTTGCTGACTTTAGTATTTTGTGTTTAAGATATGAACGAGCAAAAGGTCCACCAGGCAGGGATGATGATAATGACATGGATGAAGATCCGAGGCGGAGTCGTAGCGGCATGCCTAGAATTAGTTTTGGTAGTGGCACTTATATTTCTGGTAATTTGTTTTAATGTTCAAGATCTAGCCTAGCTTCTGTTCTTCCTCTAAGCTGATAGAATCACATCGTCAACATATGGTATATATCTAATAATCTCTTTTATGAATGAATGCTTGTTTTTGTGTCATTTTGTAAAGTCTAGGCTAGCAGTAGCATTAACATATACATAATTATGAAAATCAGGCTATCAAATAATATTTCTTAAAGAGATTTTCTGTCTATGTATTTTAATCATTTTATTATCTATTTTCTTCTAGCATCTGGTGAACAATTAAAAACTACAACTCCTAAATTTGCGGGGCCATCAGAGAGGCTTACGTTGTCATTGTTATCGCCAATGCCAAATGAACAGGACTTTGCCATCAATGTGTGTACTGTTTTGGCTGCGGACCATTCAAACAGGCTGCCTTTGAATACAACTCCACACATACTAGATTTTTTGTTGGCACATGCTGGAGTATATAATCATTGTAAGATATATTTGTATTTGTATTGCTATGTTTAGTTTCATACATCACAATATTGGGCAGATACAGTATAGTTTGTTTCCAGTTGTCAACTATCCAATTTACTTTCTAAATTTATTTTGTTCTTGTGTAAGTTTAATCACCATTTGTTATTGTAACATTTACAATATTTAGCCATTCTTAAGATACATTCAAGATTTTTTTTTACAGATAGTAAGTTATTTCTAATACAAAATTAGTAATAATTTAACTATCTTTGAACTAAATTAACTTGATCACACCTGAGGTCTTAAGTAACTCAATTTTTAGTTTTAACACTAGAATAAGTAACAGATAAACTTCCAAAGTCAATGCCTCGGAACAAAAATTTATACAGGTTTTGTATGTTTTTTAGCAAGTCTTCGAGACACAATTGGTCGTTCATATTATGAAGCGCGTGGTCGTTATCCTCATGATTTTTGGGAAATGCGTGCTGGAGGCGGCGGAGCTAAGGAATTGGCTGATGAAACTAAGTTTATGCAACCTGGAATCGAACAGCCTGAATTGATGGTACAAGCATTAGCGGCACATAACACATTGACAGATTGTCTCATGAACGGTGGAGATGATGATGATGTACTGGATAAAGTTGTTGAAGATGTAAGTGATTATATTCTTTTATAAGAGAGGTTTTTATGCAAAACTATGGACAAGGCATGTCTTGCTTGGCATAATAATAATTTAACAATAAACCAACTGATAAAGAAAAATTTAAAATAAAATTGTTTTCAGTATATGTACCTATATTAATTTGGCATACATCATGTATATATATACTGAATCGATTTTGATGAAATTGATAATGTCCCTAAGTTGACCTAATTTCTTGATTTGAATCAAAATCATCTTGATTTCATTTAGTGTTGAAAAATTTGCTTACAAACAATACATACAGTTAATTTAAATAGATCATCATACTCAAATATTATCTATTTCCAACCATATCACATATATGTATATGAATCAGAAGTACTCTTTGGGTGTTTGAGCTTATACATTTCAGTTTTGAGACAAAATTTGCTGTAACATATATACCAATATGGTATATACCAATATAATAAATATATAAACATACAAAAATGTAATTTAGTTTTTTTTGGTATTTACACTGTTCCTATGTTATTAATTTTGAGACATTCACTAAAGCATTCAATAAAAATGTATTATTACTTTAATTTATGTTTTTGTTTGCTTTTTATTTCGGAACATCATCTCTACCAACAACTTTAGCTTCATCAACAGGAGATGGAAGATTGGGTGACGGAACCGTCGGAGGAAGATCAGCTCTTTGCACCAGAATTACCCGGTGGAGCCAGTTGTGTGTACACACAGCGGGTCTTGCAAATAGCGTCTATTGTACGGTCACTGTCCTTCCATGAGGATAATGTGCAATATCTATCCAGAAATACAACACTTATTCGGTACGTAGTTATATAATTATTAAAAAAATAATTTTTCCTTTTATTTTTTTCAAGGATTTTTTTATTAGGGAGCGTTCACGTATTACGTCACGCAATTTTTGGAGATTATAGACTTTCGTGACCACTCAGTGACTCGTTATACCTTAAAGTTACCATTATGTGGTGAAAAGGACTGGAAAGTCGAAAACTATATTAACAATAACGGGTTATTCAATCCCCCCCTCGTAACGAAAAAAAAGGACCCCCCCAATTTCGTTACGTAATACTTGAACCCTCCCTTAGGGAAAATTTTAATTCTTAGTAAAAACTTGAGTAGTAGTACCTACCTGTGTGTGTGACAATAAATTAGTTATTATATTATAATTTTCTTAATAAAAATTAAAATATAAGCCGTAATATATTTAATGAATAATTTTTATCACTGTTCCTTATCGTTTGCGGGTATGCTTACGTGTTATTTTAATATTGTTTTTAGGTTTTTATTACTCTGTGCAAATTGTTGGGTGGGTACACTACGGCAAAGTGGTTTGGACACTCTTGGAAATATATCAACTGAGCTTATAATTAAGGTAATATTATGAGTGATTCATGTGATTATTTTACCAATATTTGTAATAAGAAATCTTTCAAACTTGTAATGGTTCTATGAATGGAGCTCAAATTTTGGAACATAATGTCTAATATATTATTTTCATGAAATGTACTGTTAGTACGTTTACCTAAAAAAATGAAGTCTTCTGTTACTAGTTACTCCATCTCGTGATAAAGAAAAAAACATAACAGTTTAAAGTAGAAATAATTTAAGAAATTACCAAAAAATATGAATAACAAAAATATCTAATATACTATTAAAAACGAACCGAAACGTATTCGCAATATTTTTCTTTAATTCTATATTTACCTTTAAAGACACCCTACCTCGATACTTTAGGATTTTACATTAACATTTTTACGTTAGGAAACCGGCTTGCCTTAGAACCAAAAAGTCGACATATGTCAGGCACAGGACGCTGATCAAATGCCCATTAGATTGACCTAAAAGATTGTAGCGCCACCGATTTTTTTAAATTTTTGAAGTGAAACTTCTTTATCGGGGTTGGAAAAAAATTTAGTGTAAAATTTTTGCGTTACGCGTCACATTTTTCCGTTACGCGCCATGTTGATTTTTGAAGTCAAACTTCTTTATCGGCGTTAAAATATGACATATAGTATGTTTTTGACTTTGAAGTTTGACAACGGATTACATTTTCGACTTGAAATTTGCTAATCGCAATTTGCAGCAATTAATTTGTAAATTGTATGCTAGGCAGTGCATCAAAATTTACTGTGTTTAAAGAAATAGTTTCGGACCTCTAAACTTAAAACAAACCAATTATGGCTCTGCGTACAACAAAGGTTTTATATAAGTTTCACTTCTTACGTGTGTACACCTAGTACACGCACACATTTTTTTATTTTACCTCGAGACCGTGAACCGTGTCCGTTGTCAATAACAGGTTCCTACTGTCACTTTGTACGTTAAGATTGTAAACCAAATATGTAATGAATGTCGACGCTTCGGTGGACGGAGAAATTGTGACCAATTTATGTTCCACCATCACGTACATTTTTGTACTTTTTTTTTATAATTAATAAATAATTTAAAAAAATGGTTCGATGATTTTTTTAAATGTTGTCGTACATTTTAGGATCCTGCTACCTGTCTCATATCGAGGCATGTTTTATCAACGATACAGACTGCTTTATCGTCGCCCGATCGCGCGAGGATTTTGGCCGCGCTGGAGTTACTTAACAAATTGGCCCAGAATGAGGCCAATGAAGAGGCGTTGCTGAGGTCCCTTGAGGCAAAGGTAAGTGAAAATATTATTTGTGCGAATTTTATATGTGCGTCTGAATTATAATCAGAAGTGATTTAAATTGAATATTTAAATCAATACTAATTAATATTAGAAAATAATAATAAATATAATATTAATAAATATTTATTTATTTAATTTTTCAAATGTAAACTGAACTTTATTGACTATAATGACTCCTTTTCCAGTCTTTGATTATTGCAATCAAAAACTATTTTTAATAATGCCAAAGAAGTATAACTTCTTACGCGCGTACATAAGTACACGCACCCTTTTTTTTTCTTTTTCGTTATGAATTTTTAATATATATTATATTAATTACAAATATGTCAAACTTCATATAGAATTAATAGTTTAAATCTCTTTAACTAGATTTAAGTTTGGTGGACGTTCCAGAATACGGGTCTGAAACTAGCTATTTTTGCATGAGGTATAATTCAGTCATTTTATATTTTATAATTAAAAGTTAATATTTTTGTAAAATATGCTATGAAGATTTAGAATATATTTTCCCCCAATTTGTTTGGTACAACAGTTGTTTTATGTTAGGAGGGTAGAAGCAAATTTTCTAGTCCCATATTAAATTAGATATTTTGCAGGTGTATAGTGACGTGTGTTCGTTGCTAACTCTACGTGATATAATGGTGCTCGTTTGTACGTTGGAGTGCGTATACGCACTAACTTCCTTGGGGGAAGCGGCAAGCGAAGCGGTAGCGAGAGTCACTGGTTTAGTTCATACATTGGTTTCTCTTGTTACTGTTGAGGTATGTTAAAAACTACTTTCAGTAGAATTTGAAATGATTTTTATTTATTCGAAATTATAATGTTTATGTTAAAAAATAATTTATTAAGAAAACGTTTATAAAACGCAATAATTTATGCGCCTGAGTATATAATAAAAAAATATATGCTTATAATATGCCTAGTTATAATTAAAGTTCTATGAATTTCACTTATCATTTCGCTATATACAAAAAAATATTATTTTTCCCTGCGCCCAGGCAATATTGGATAAAACAAAAGCTTAATCAACTTAACCACAAAACTCAAGGCTGGCTTATACGAATTATATTACAACACTAGAAGAAATATATACTCGTAACTATTACGATTCGAATATTGCAAGCTACTCGATTGTGAGCAAGTTGCATGGTTCTGTTTAGCGCTGCGCATTTTTAAGTTCTCATGTAATTTTCACACGTGTATATCGCTTCTATAACATATTTGCATAATCCTAATATCCGATTGTCCTCCTTGTAAACATGTTGTGATATTTGAGAGGATAATACGTACCTACTGAGGAGGGTACAAGAAAGTACAGGAAGTGCATTAATAATTAACAAAATACAGAAACACAACACTCGTAATGTAACTAAAACTATATCTAAAAAATAATATTAATACAAAAGCAAAAGCTAATCTTAGGGTTAGTTTACATAAGTAGCTAATTACGAGGCAGAAGAGAAATGCTCAGAAATATTCTTTAATAAAAACTGAGCTCGTCTGATATCAAGACGAAAGGACGGAAAGAGACGAAAGAGTACATTTATTAATTAATTTATTTACTAATTTTAAAAAGTACAAAAAAAATGTGACAGTAAAACAAATTGATTACAATATTACAAATACATATACAGTTTTGTTTTCTGGGTCATTTGAGAGCTTACAAAATGTGTGATTTTTATTGACATTACATATTGTAGGCCCAAAGTTACGGTCCACGCGCGTGTATACTAATGCGTGTGGTGGAAACTGTGAGTGGACCCGCCGCTGTTTCTGAAAGGGAGTCCGAGAAACCTCAACAACAGCAGGTAATTGTTACTAAATTGTATCGCTTTATGAATCTCTTTTTTTATAGAACTCTCTAGAAGGAGACCTTTGTGTTAACTGATACCGGGCCTTGGGCCCTCACACTGGTTTCACATGCCAGCACCCGGTTCATGCCGGTTCCACAGACCAGCTGTCAGTAGTGGTATTTCAAAACCTAAATTTAGGATTTTTCAAGAGCGTAGGGCTCTTAAAGGCCGGCAACACTTTTAAGCATCGTGGCGATGCAGGTGTCCCTGAGTGACGGTTAAGCACTTCTAAGTGACTCGCTTGTTTGCCTTCTGTTCCATAATACCAATTGTCTTATCCCTGTTCTGCGTAGCGCTCTCAATTTGCGGCGTACACGTGTCAAATGTCAGTTGTCGTTTTGACAGTTTACATTTAATAATGAGATGATAATTAGTTGCACACTGGCTGAATTTACATGAATTCCATTATTTATAATTAGATATAAAATGGTTTAGGATTTCTTGTTTTCTTGTTTTGTTTAATTTTTATATTAATAAGTTTTCTATTGTATTAGTGTTAGGTTTCTGTAAAATTAAGAAAGAAAGAAATAATATAAGCGTCAAAGCTACTTTGAAAGACATAACCCAATTTGTGTTTTTTTTACGTGAAATTATAAAAATTTACAAAACACCAAATCATCTGTACATAACTAAATAACACCAAAGATGTCTTCTATAAAACATACATCATCATGTAGTCTATTATCTTTTGATTAGTCTATGATTTGCGAGCTCTTTCATCTGTATATTGAACAATTTTCATTACAGTGTTTATTTAAATTCTTATATAGTTATATTCTTATTTTTATAAATATTTGTTTAAAGTTCAACATAATATATCTATACTTCCGCTTTGCTCTACAAAAAATAACTCCTGCAATAACCGTGATCAAGATCAAGAATTATGATAGCGTGACATTGTTCATTACTATAACTAATTAATATTTCAGCCGCAAGTGCAAGTGAAGCCCCAAGAGCCGGTGACGTCATCGAGCCCTCACGCCCACATCATCGTGTCCAACTCAGCCCCGCCCAACGTCACGCCCACCACTTCTCTTTCCTCGATACAGGTGTCGCACTTGCATCAGAGAACTGTGCAGGTTATACATTAACTAGATTAACAGCTGGCAAAAAATAAACTCTAAAACTCTGGATCGATTTTGACCATAAAGACACATTAATAATAATAAAGCATTTTTTTAAATGTAAGTAGTAATATGTTGGTCACCTGCGGATATGGACCCCTTTTGATTGAAGGCTCCAACTCTTTCCCGATGTCTCGATCTTTGTCAACAGTCAGTATCTCGTTATTTTCTTGTTATTTTTAGTAAGTCACCAGCTAGCCATGATGGTGGCATCATTTTGGCCTGCCCACTCTTCCTTTCCTGGGTGGTCGACAACACCAGGGTGTTGTTCTTTAGGTATCGTGGTACATGTCAACCCAAAGCTACATTATCAGCAAGTAAATGTCAAAAATGAAGGAAATCTTCGTTAGAAACCCACCATGCTTTAGACCAGTGTTTCCTAACTATAGGCCTATGCCCCACAGGGGGGCAAATTAAATTAAATTTGATTGTTAAGGTTTATTCGAAAATTTATTAACATTTGGAATTTAAGTTTTCATTATGTTTTGACTTGCTGTGTACTTAAAGGGTAAGGGTGGGACATGGCACCAAAAAAGGTTGGGAAACACTGCCTTAGATACAAATATTTACGTGTGTCAGGCACAGGGGCCTGATCACTGATAGTTTGAGACCAACCGAGGTCCGAAGGTTGTAAGGCCTTTTTTTAAAATTAAGTGCGAATATATTACCTATAAGCGACCAAATTGTGAGGGTGAAATATCTAGTTAATGATATTTAATCAATATTGTTGATTCTTTATAGGAAAACGAGCATTTTGCCCAAGCGTGGTTGCGATCGACGTACGAGCCGCTACCAGCGAACGATAATAGTACGTGCGACGCCGCGGAGATGTATCGCAACTATATGACGTGTTGCACGAAGGTCGGACGTAAGGGGATTATTGCGCCTGCGCACTTCCCGAGATTGGTCAGGTAAATGTCTTTTTATATTACAACAAGACTTTGTTAGAAGATTCCTTAATGATGTTGCAATATATTTTAGATAAAATAAAAAAAATAAATAAATCAGTGGCCCTAAAACTTTTTTAGATCTGGACCTCAGATTTCTGTAGCTTTTTCATTACCGTTTGTCAATTTTATATAATATATATGTGATCAGCCTCCTGTGGCTGACACACGCCGTCAATTTTTTTGGGTCTAAGGCAAGCCGGATTCCTCACGATATTTTCCTTATTGCACATAGACAGGAAGTCCATTGGTGTACAGATTGAACCTACTACCTCAGGGATGAGAGTTGCACTCTGAAGCCACTAACAATGCTCTTTGCTTGCTTTTTTTAGATACAATAACATAAATTAATCAAAATAGTTGCCAGTAATAATATTTATTTTCCAGAACTGTGTTTGGGGGTACGGTTGGCCCTAATACGGTGGCGACATCGAGTGGCGAAATGCAGCAGTTGTACGTCGGAATACGAGCAAAGAATACGGGAAAAACCACTACACCCGCTGGTAAGACATTCAGCGTACGACTCTCATCCCTGTGGTCGTAGGTTTGATTCCCGGTTGTGCACCGATGGACTTTGTTGCTATGTGTTATCAGTACAAAATTAAATGCTAATCAAAACAAATCCTGTTGCCTGTATGGACTTGTGGTTGCCAGCTGAGGCTGTACCAGTAAGAGCAACATCCAAATGATCTAAGGGTTCCAAAGAAAGTGCTCAGGGGAAAATGCCCAAAAAAAAAAAGGCTTACAATAAAGTTAACGATTATCTAGTTGATGAAAGGGCCTGGGACTAGTGCTAGACAGGCTACTTCTAATTAATTTGCGATATTTGTTTTAAAATAAGTGTTGTTTGATGATTTTGCTATTTTAAAAGAGTACCGAGAGTTTTTTACGCCTGCTTTTTCTCTCGGCCTACACCCTCTGTCTTCTTTGCCGATGAGTAAGGATGTCTAGCGATTAAGTGATACCTGTATCTTATGTTCCATAATAAATATATATTTTTTTATCATTTTTTTATATATTTTTTTATCAATTTATTAAAAAAAAATCGGTTGTCTGTAAAGTCGGTTTACTGACGATAGTTGAACGTGACAACGTCACGAATCGCTCACTCAAGTAGGAGAGAGACAGATGTCGAACGCTGAAGAGCGCGGAGTCCGATTGTGCCTCTCTGTCGCTTCGCGCTCTCGCTTGCACTTCAAGCCTTAAATGGAACGCCTCAGAGCGAGGTAACGCCGCATGAGTCATGTTTTTTCGTGCGTGCAGCCGGCTCCATCGAATTATAAGACGTTGTCACTTCAAAAATGAAAATGAAGTTTTATAAATGATATTTATTTACAGGACCGTCATCACCGATTCTGAAGGCACAGTTAACAAATAAGAATGACGTCAAACCAGTTGTTACGCAAGCCCAGGTAACTCACATTATTTAAATACTACATATAATTAGTAAATAAATAGATGTGTCCAGAAAATTGTTGTGTTCGGGAATCGAACTGTAGCTATTTGAGAAGATTTAAAAAACCCTTTCAGATTTAAATTGTTAAAAAAATGAAACAGTTAAATTTAAGAATCACCAGTTTCTATATAGTACTATGCTTCTGTCACACGTCAAAATTTTTCACTGTTTTTGATATTTCCATCAAAGACAGTATCCGGCGAAATTAATCTCGAAGACAGTTACAGTGTATCCCAGTCTTTTATAGGCCATGATCCACCTCAGGCTTTCTAAAATTCTTATGCCCCCCCCCTATTAAATTAAAAATGATATTATACATCATATTACAAATTTAATTGTTCACTTAAGAAACTCACTAGGAAATTGTAACGAATTACTAAATTAATTCCAAAAAAAATTAATAAATTTTCGAATAGCCCTCTGTAGGCTCCTCGTTGGTAAACACTGCAGTATTAGAATTATTTACAATCATGCTACGTCATTGTCGATTAATGTATGCCACGTGACTGGCATAAAAATCTCGCGATTACTCAATATAACGCTTTATTCATACTGTTTATTATATGACATTAAAGATTTTTTTTTATCTTTGTTTTATGTGTCACGAAAGAAAAATATTAATTAATTTCTAAGGATGTTAATCAATGAGCTGGGTCCTATGCCGTTAATTCGGTTGCCACCATTTTAATGAAAAATTTCATTATAATTTTTTTTTCATAATATGCACACGATAAGTGTGGAATTAAATAAAAAAAAAATAGGTAATAGATAATTACAATCGCTCGACCAGTGAAGGAAACCGGCTTGCCTTAGACCCAAAAAGCACGCACGCCGTCGTGCGTCAGGCACAGGAGGCTGATCACCAACTTGCCTATTTAGATTGACAAATGATCATGAAGTAGACACAGAAAGCTGAGGCCCAGATATATAAAGATTGTAGCGCCGCTGATTTATTTTATTTAAGAGAAGAGTTTTTTATTTTATAATAGAGAAATTACCGCTGTATTTTTTAAAATAATTTCAGGCCCAACCAGCGTCCCATCCGCATTTGTCGCAAGCGTTAGAATCGACCGCCAATACGTCGACATCGCTTATAAAGCATCTACTCGCCCATAAAGTAAGCCCCGGCATTCAAACGCAAGTAAGTGCCTACTAACACCACTAACCTGCTATTAGTAAAATCACAGTGACAAATACTTTGTAGTGAAAAATCACAGTGAATACCTAGTATTTATAGCTGTGATAAAATACTTTGATACCATTTTATTGCCGTCTTTAGCTGTCAGATTTTATAGATTTTTTAAATAATATTTTTTTATAGCCCCATTGTATAAGAGTTTTTTGTTCATTTATATATTTTATTATTTTTTACTAGAGCACCAATTTATCAGTTACTTCAAAGTAGTCAAGCGACACATGGTAAAAAATTAAATAGTTAATATTAACCTGCACGTATTTTGTGTGTGATTTTCATTTAATAACAAATCGCACGTTAGATGTACGCGTATAACGTACAAACGTATGACAAAATCTTCATGAAAACTAGTTCCTTTATTCACTAAAACTAAATCTAACTGCACTCCTTGAAATATAGTCGTCTCTGTCTATCACATTCTGTTAACGCTGTGATGGAAGGTATGAATGACGGAGCTAGTTTTCATATAACCTGTCAACTTGATGCAGCAGTCTATGCTCGAAACTTCGAGTGATGTTATTTCATATCTGTTTTATTACGACGCCAAACCAAAGACAATATGTCAAATCAGTATGCAAATATCAAAATATAAAAACAGTTTAAATATAAATACAGTCGTAATTATAGTATAATTATTTAGCCATGACATAAACCAGCTCTTCTATGAATTTTAAGTAGTAGGGGTAAAGGTACACATGTCAGAAGTGAAACTTCTTTGGCAAACTAATTTTTAAACCTTGTTCATTTTTATACAAATATAAAACTTTAGATTTCCGAGACTTAGAGGGAGGGAAAAAGGAAGATATGTTAGGAATTTAATGAATTTAATTGTCATTAAAAGTGTCGAGAATTAATACAAATAATAAATTTAATTTTTTAAATTTATTTCTTTGATAATAAAAACACCTGGCATTTTAATTTACAATTTGTCATTTGAGATTTCCATAAATTATTTTGCATAAAATATAAAATACTAATTGATATTTCATTAATTCTCTTTACCAAATTTTAATTTAAAAAATATAATTTTTTTAAAGTAATTCACCCTTCTCTCAATCGGTCTCAATTGCTCTTTCCCGAAGAAAACTTCGACAAAAACGCTGCACATCCTCGTGACGTTCCGTTAAAAATTTTACCCTCATGCATCTAAAGAAGTTTCACTTCAATAAAGTCATACATATATGAAGCTCTTAGCGTTTAGAGTAATGGTGGATCTTCAGCCCCCAATCGTTATGTTAACACTTCACGAAAATTATAAAACTATTTGAAAATCCGCGTTGTGGCAATCTAGTAGTGTTTAGAATTTGCATGAAATTAACCAAATTAAACGTGCATGCGCTGTAAAGCATGTTAAGAGAGTGTAATACTTACCGGGTTCGACCGGAATATCAAAATTCTATATGGACTATCTTGTCTTGGAGTCAGATCTAGAGTCTATTTTTTCCATAAAACAAATAAACACATTATTTATATGCAAGAAGGTGATCCAGCCTGAGAAATGTCAACGATTTTTTGGCCTAGGAAGACTTAGAAACGAGACTTGGTATGTCAAAACTGGATTTTGGTGTCAGACTGAACGCTAAATTTCTGTCTTGTTCTAAGACTGGTCTCTCGTTTCGTTACGATATCGATGTAGATTTCAGAACTTCCTTAATTTCTTTGATTATCATTAAAAACAAATGACATTCGTTCAGACTTGAAAGTTCTTTAAGAAATGTTTTATATTATAGTTTTTTGTATACAGTTATTCCGCCACTATTTATTATTTAATAGATAATATGTATTTATTAATGTTTAGGTCGCGCAAAGACAAAACCAGAGAGCGCCACCAGCAGGTGCCGTTGTGATTCAAACAAATACGAATACGGTAATAGTATCTTCGTTAATGTCTTAATTAATATTGATAATCTTCACATCAACACATGTGTGTGTTCTTATGTACACGCGTTGGAAGTTATACTTCGGCGTAACAAAATAAAAATCTTTTTTAAAATTTTTATATTTCGCCTTATTCTACGTTTGTGGGAAAAACGACACTAACAATAGAAAAGAGATATTTAATACATTGAAAGTTTTACTATATCGCATTATCTAGTTAAATAAAGTTTATTTTAATATTTAAAAAAAGTATTTCTACATAATTAAAGAAATTTACATTTTTTATTTTAAAATGTTGACAGTTGAGTATTAAGAAACTCCATAGCGCTAAATCCTGGAGCATGAACACACCTCACACACACCCTCTCATACATATCCTCACTTTCACACCATCACACAGCACACCTGAATTAGGTACTAGTTAAAAGTATTTAATCATTTATATTGATTTTTTCTTTTCGTAAATGTTTTTTTGTATATATTATTATGTATTCCATTTTTGGCTATATCTTTTGTATAATTGTTTTTTTATATACAACTAGCTGACCCGGCAAACGTTTGTTTTGCCATGTATATTGGGAAACATTTTTTTTAGTTCAATAAAAATAACTATCTACAATAATAAAAAAATAGGGATGGCACGTTGAGGGGTGAAAATTATGTGTTGTATATTATTTTGTATGCTGTATCATATTAAAATAAAAACAAAAAAAAAATTCTAAAAAATAAAAAATTTGGCGTATAGGGGTTTGAATGATAGATAGTAGCCGATTCTCAGACTTACTGAATATGCATAAAAAAATTCATAAGAATCGGTCCAGCTATTTCGGAGGAGTATGGGAACGAACATTGTGACACGAGAATTTTATATATAGGATTTAAGTTAGATGTAAATAAATAAATATTTTTTTGTAGGGAATGGAAGTGGACCCGGAAACTTTAATAAAATGTACAACAATTACTCCCGGGGGTGTTGCTAGTAATACGCCTTTGCAAGATAAGGTGAGATATTTATTATGGCAAACAACTTGTTTTCTTTAACGAAACGTTTTAATAAGTATTTTTCTTTTAGGTCAATGTTGCAGAAGATATTGGTGGTGAGTGAAAACTTTCTTAGCAAATTTACGGCAACAAATACATAACATACAACAAATACGTTAATATATAAAAAAATAGTGCGTCGAGTACCTCCGCGCGGAAGAAGTGAAACTTCGTAATGTGTAAATGAAAATAGGAAGGGTAGAAATTGATTTTAGTGAAATCATATTGTTTGTTTAAGACAAACTTTATTAATATTGCTTACAATTCACAATTGATTGCATCTTTGTAAATGAAATAATGATTATTATAAATTAAAATAGAACAACAAGTACGTATTTCAGCTAATTTCACGACGCTCACGCTGTTTACTTCGCTGCATAGCAAGAATACCACACGCATATGCTTGGGGTCTACCGACTCACTCTCTTTCTCTCTCCTACTTTGTACCTTTGTCTATCTTTCTTTCTCTCCCTGGAATATTGCACGCTACTTGTTGCTAACGTTTGCGCTGGCCTGTAACAGGTATACTAGGCGCATGCGTTCGAGTGCCACGCATTCACTCTCGCTCTGTCTCTTTCTATTCCACCTCCCCAGGATCGTTAAAAACGCAACCTTGTTGGAAGTTGCTTTAGAAGTTTCACTTCAATAATTCAGATATAAAAGTTAATACTAAAATAAATACATTTTCTTCCAGCTCCGAAAGAAGCACCAGTCCAGATACAAATTGATGAACAAGCTCAGTTGACTATAGTGAGTAGATTTTTGTGGCATTTGTTATAAAGAGGTAACGTTTGTATGTAGAAAGTAATCTCTCATATCCGGAAAGTAAGTCGGGCAAAAATGGGTCGAACGAAACGTTTCTAGATGTTATAGAGATTGATAATCCTTAGGCCAGCGAAAGCATAAATTAGAGTTTATCTTCTACATTACCATGTGCCCATGGGCGGCGGGATCACTTAACATCAGATGAGGCTTCTGCCCGTTTGCCCCCTGTTCTATAATAAAAGTTACAATATAAATATATATATATATAATTTTTGTTTTGAATAATGACGAATATTTATATACAGTCTATATGTAGTACAGTACGTATTACTTTAATTTAATCATTACGTAATATTTTTTTCATTCTGTTTTGTCTAGCTCCTCTCGTCAATCTGTTGTTTTTTATATTACTTGTACAAAACAGGCCAGTCGTCTCGTGACGGCCTTCATTTTTAAAGACAATCGGAGCCAAGCTTGTGCAAATTATATTTGGTCATTTAATTTTACTTTAATATAAAAATGTGTTCCAGAAGACCGCGCAAAACAAAATGTTAGCCGATCTCCTAGAAAAGAAATCAAACCCACCCGTTCAAGTAGTCCAAATGAACCAGCACGCACCGACCATACAAATAACCGAAACCGGGCAAATCGTTCAAGTCAAACCGGATGCGAGCCAGGTCATAGTTAACCCGGATCAACCGGCGCCATATTTACAGATTAAAAACGAGCAAGGGCAACTGATACAGATAAAAAATGATTCGGGACAGATTATACAGTTGAAGAGCGATCAGGGCGTGATACAGTTTAAGAATGATCAAGGGCAATTGGTACAGATTAAAAATGAAAGTGTTATACAGAGTGTTAAAACTGAAGTTGACCCTATCGTTACGGACCATTCGTATACGGAGCCGCCCTCGAAGAGGCCTAAAGTGGAGGACAAGACTGAGGTAATAGAATGGTCCTACAACCCTATAGGACTTCAGACTGTCAGTATATTTTATTAATTTTATTTTTTGAACTTGAATAGTGGACGTGGTGTTTTGAAGTTAGACTTCTTTTGGCGCGTTAGGGAAAAATGATGACAGAAAATTTTACGATGCGCTCGCACACCTTCACAAAAGCCGACACCCGCACACCGTCACAAAAAACCCACACCCTGAATATCTGTTCAAACGTCGGTAAAACAGTCTGGGCCGCTAGTTGGCGCTTGCTCTGTTTTATCGACAAGTTGCATTGTCTGTCGTGGTGTAGAGTTTATTTTAAAGAGTCGTGTTTATTTTAACCAAAATAAACCCGTTCCAATGTGATAAAAAAACATAATGTTTATTGTAAAATATCATGATTAGTACATATTATATCGTTTCGATTGAAAGTGACCATTAAAATGGAAGAGAAAAATGCAATTCGAAGAGGGAAACGTCCCTCTAAAGTGCTCGAAGAAATAATTACGCCAAAGAAGTATAACTTCTAACGCGTGTACATAAGTACACACACGTTTTTTTAAATTCTTTTATACAAAAGTGGACCGACGTTCAACCCACAATCCCTCCTGATGTTTAGTGAGATGCGGACTATTGGAGACCACGCCTATTTAACCAATAATCAGCCTGTTATTGTCTTTTACCCGGTTTCTTCACGATATTGAATGAGCAAGTGTTGATGTTATTAAAAACAAAACCCATTCGTGCCGTGATTCGAATGCACGGAGTCGCTTAAGCTTCTAGACCAACACTGCTTTTAAAACTGTTAATAATAATAAAAATCGTTCAATTTAGGTTCAATAGCTTCAGAATTATAAATATATCAAAGCTTTATAGGGGTCGTGTGTTCAAATCTGTGCACAGATTTATCTTTCGTTATGTGCAATTACTTGCTCGTCGAAAACATGTCTTGGATACAAAAAATTAAAATGTGTCGGGTACATTTAAAATTGCTGTCGGCTGCTGCTAGCTGATAACAGCTTACCTTTCATTGATATATATCAATGAGAAACCTATTCTAGATGTTATTTAATTACTATATCCCATTATTCTAGACGAAATGCAATACTATTATTATAAAAAAATCCGTCAAAATAAAAAAAAATGTATGAAAATAGTCCAAATGTTCCAGAATAATTCACCGCAAGAAAGCGTCTCAAAAACAGCAGCAAATTTGTACGCGGCGCTCGCAGCTTCAGCTCTTGAGGATGAAGAGGATTTGGTAAAATAGTTTGTTATTTTCATTTACATAAGTTGGTTTTTTATCGGGATTATATTTATTAAAACTAATATTCATAAATGGACCAAATGTTCTTGAAATTTTAAGTATATTGAATCTGCTCGACTACTCATGTAACGTATTTTTATGTTTTATCATATTATGTGCTTAGTGTGATATATATGATGAAAATATTTAGTGACCAAACGTTCTAAAACGGTTAAAAATTTTATTGGCTAAATATTATAATATAAGTTTAATTCAGACTTAGTCTATAATTAATTTATTAGGAAATATTTTCCTTAATGATTTACGTAATAATAACACATACATACATAGCTTAACACAGTGTCTTGGTAGCGAAGCATCCGACCTAGCTGCGACTTTAATCATAAATCTCTTATTATTATATATTCTATCTTTAGCCCTAAATTAAATGGGTATGAAATTGGAACCATAATTTTAAATTAATTCTTGTAAAGAAAAATTGTAGTTTCAATGTCAAAAATTGTTTTCATGTCTGGAATTGAAGCGTCCCCGTGGGATTCTTGTATCTGGCCCAATGGCCTCGAAGGTTTCTATTTTATTACTATTTTCATGGTTTTATGTAATTTCGAGGCTCACTCGAAAATTTATGATTTAAAGTCTTATGGCTTATGTGTTTTTGGGCAAAGAGAGTCGAAACTTAGCTAAGTGCGACCGTACCTCAAATCGTTTATAAAAATAAAATATGTTTATTAAATTAAATCTGAATCGGTACACATCCCTACTCATCGGCAAAGAAGACAGAGGGTATAGGCCGAGAGAAAAAGCCGGCGTAAAAAACTCTCTGTATTCTTTTAAAATAGCAGATCATCATACAAAATGACTATGGCAAACAACACTTATTTTAAAACAAATATCGCAAATTAATTAAAGAGCAGAGATAAAAGAGCCTCTGGGATTTTATTAAAGAAAAGTATCACTTTTCCCAAAAACGAGTTACTAACTTTAGATAGTCTAGTACGGGGAAATTGCAGCTTGCGTTTGTTCCGTTCGTTGACATTCGAAGGTCACACTTAGACTCTCCACTCTATATCCGAAGGTTAGATCTAGTCTGCCCCATACACATTTAATGTATTTGAATACAGTTACCACAGAAACCAGAGAATTCAGATGCAATACAACAACCGGTGTTAGTCGGCGGTGCAGGGGAAAGTCCGGTTATCATCCAGGAGCCGATTTTACAGGTAATTGTGGTCGTCATTCCTCCTTTGACCCATCTCTTGTCTCCAATCCGTGTCTCCTGTTAACATTTATTTCCTGTATTCTATAACATTTATCTCTAATATCCGTTGCTTACCTATCATGTTGCCTGGTATGCGTCTACGGTCCATAATGAGCTTTCTCAGGATTTTCTAGAACATCTTTATCGGCTAGTATTTCTTTGAATAGAACGAAAGAATGGTTAAAGTCAACAATAGTGTCGAGACATGCTTTATTACTCTGTGTGGGAAGTATAGTTTGATCTATAGCTAAGACCAGTAAGCTTCATACACTTCTACTCAGAATTTATGTCTTTACCTTTGTTTGTAACGGCTAATAAAATTATTAGAGTGGTTCCTTCATTGTTATATTCGAAATATGTTTTACATTTATATATTAAACCTCTCGTAAAAGGTAAAAATAAAGATTTTTATAAATTTGACGATTATTTAAATGATCCTAATCCTTGGGATTGATTAGCTCCAGTACTAACAATTTGTATGACTCAAAACTTGGCGATTAAAAAGAGTGGCGGAGAGTTTCTCGCCCGCTTTACGCGCTTGACTTGCGAACTGGTTGTAAATGTAAATTTATAATCAATTTAACATCTTTTCTGTTGACGTTCATAAGTGTACTTGTTTATCTATATGCAAAAAAAAATGTTAATAGGTACAGCAGCCGACACTACAAGTACAACAGCCATCAATGCAAGTTCAGCAATCATCAATGCAGGTAGGATCAATTAATATAAATTAAGAGAAAATAGATTAGATTGTTTGCCTTCCAACATTTTGCAATAGCTGATCAATGATATCCCTCATTTTTTAAATCACATAAATGTGTGTATGAAGTCTGTTAGCAATGGTTATTAAGTATAAGGCTGTTTGCCTGTTTTTATTTTTGGTAAAATAAATATATTTATTTATAAATAAATAAAATATATTTAATTTTTTTCACTTTTAGTTTTTTTTTACTTTTCAGTCATAGCTCAAATTTTTATCATTATAGCCCGGGTTGGATGGGAACGCTTATAAGCGATAAGGCCGTCTCATTTAGGTTTATTATACATAACTACAATTGTATAAAGCGCGAATCCGGCCCCACATGGAGTACTGTTCTCACCTACCAGCTCCTTCCACTTGACCGTATTCAACGTAGAACGAATCGAATCGTCGATAGCCAGTCACTTTCCGTGCGGCTTGATCCCTTGGCGTAGAGATGTGGGATCTCTCTACATATTCTACGTATGCACGTAGAATTCCCCTACAGTTTTTTTTATTTTATACTTATTCTTCTTAGTCTTATTTTCTCTTTAATATTTTAAGGTCCAACAACCGCCGCATCAAATGCAACAGCCAATGTTGCAAGTGCAACCCATGGATGTTCAAAATATCATCTCATCTCAGTCTGGACAGCTTATATTACAAGGTATATATCTGTGGCCATAGGGCAGAATATGATAAATGCAATTTCATTACTTCAGGCAATTAAATTATTAAGAAATCTTGAAGGCTCTATTAAAATATGAAACACTCGATATATGAATGAATGTACTCATCATTGTCTGATCTATGACCACAGATATTTATTTATTGATAAATAAATATTTATTATAAAATAAAGCATAACTTAATCTTTAGTATAAGCTGTCTACAGCCTATGAAAAATCTAAATGAAATGCCACATTTGAATAACTGAAGTATTTCCTAACCAATTCCTTCAAGAAAAGAGCGTGCCAATTGTCACAATGTGAGTGTTCATGGGCGGCGGTATCACTTAACATCATTACATTTAAAAAACATAAAATAACCCATTATATTCATGGTCATTATGATTATATGTTGTGTAAAAATGAACTGTTTAGTTCAAAACGTTTCTTAAATAATAAAACACTATTTTGACCGGATTGAAGTTATGTATTATTATAAATTTACAACTATTTAACATAATTTTAAATAGTTGTAAATTTATAATAATACATAACTTCAATCCGGTCAAAATAGTGTTTTATTAAATGAATAAAAGTTATGTTAATCAAAGACAATACTACGTTTCTTAAATTATAATTCTTACGATTTTATGGCTGCAGCCATCTTTATGGCTGACGTACTAAAGCGTCCTTCATAGGAGTAAAATGTAATAATTTTTTACTATTATTTATTGAATTATTTCCTAAACATAGGATAGAATTACAATGTTTTGTGGCTCACACCTCACACGGTTTTGAGAAACCAAATGAGTACATTTGTTCATTTATTTTTAATTTTAAAATTATTTATTATTGCTTAAAAAAAAAACTAAAAGTACAGAAAACACCAAAAATCACTAAGGGGTTTAACCTTTAAGGCCTACACCACAGTACAAATTTTAATTCCTTATAACTAAAGAGTAAAAAAAATACAATTAATACGAAAAAAAGAACGAAACAAAAGAGAGATTATAGTAAATACTATACTGAATTAATTCCAATTTTTTAGGAATTAATTGAAAATTACACATTTCAGAGAAAACAGTTACATCTCAGCCTCAATTTGTCCAACAGCAAATGCAATTGATTGCGACACCAAACACATCACAAGGTAAGAGCATTTGAAAAATATATTTTATAGATGTGTAATCAATAAAAACATTAAAATTATATCTAAATTTATTTTCACAAAAAAACTACTTACTTGAATGTCTTGATGAGAAAATTGTCTATTTACGGAAATAATTGCAAAGATATGATGATGTCGTGATGTTGTTTTATAAGTATTCCATAAATTTATTAAATTAATGTAATTAATAAAGTTTTGCGATGTATTAAAATTGAATTTAAAAATAATGGTTATCTGTAAAGTCGGTTTACAGACGATAGTTTAACGTGAAAACGTCATAACAAAATATTGTTGAAATTATTGCATACTTTTATGAATAAAATTGAATATTTTGTATACAAAGAAGGAGTAAATCTTCGGACGCATAGGCTAATCGAGTAAAAGAGAGATAGATGCGGCGCAAGCGTATAATGAGCGAAACAGTTTTCGATTTATTAGACGTAGTCACGTCAAAAATCACTACATAAAACAAATAATTATTAATGCATAATAATTAATTATATTAATTAGTAACATAGGAATTCGTCAATAACAGGTTTCTCGCATCGGCTACGTATGGAGCGTTGTGTCGTTATACGCGCAATATAATAAATATAAACCCATGTTATATACTATGTCATTTGTCTTAGTATATAAGATTTAAATCTGTTCGACGTTCTGGTGGACAGAAAACTATGACCAAGCTATTGGAAACTTCTTTTTTTATGATTTTTAAAAAAGTTTTTGCATGAAAAGTATATTAAGTTGCAAAGTTGAGTTCAGTATAAAATGAATGAAACTAAAAGCTTTAACCATTTTTCTATAAAAATGTTCGATGCTGCCAAAAAAACTTTATTTCCGAGGTGGATATGCATTTGCCTGCCCCCGAAAGTAGGGGTATGTGGGGTGGGACTCACCAGAAACTCTGCGATTCAGAAACTGGGTGAGAAATACCCACTTAAAGCATCTCGGGCAATTCCTACAAGGCCTTCCTGTTGTATTTTACCGGGTCAAAGAGACCAGTTCCGTTTTTTTTTTTCGAAAAAAATAGAGGGTGACCTACTTGCCATGAGATTGTCTCGAAATACATTGGGTTCTGGAACTTAAACATTTTTATTTTGTATGATGATTTGATATTTTAGAGTACCGAGAGTTTTTTACGCCTGCTTTTTCGGCCTACACCCTCTGTCTTTTCCGATGAGTAGGGATGTCTACCGATTCAAATTTAATGACGTGGAATAAATGATACCTGTATCTTATATTCCATACTAAACATTTTTTGTTATATTTTGAAAATTTCCTTTCTTTTTCAGGGGGTATCGGCTACCTATCATCGAATATTCCAGGAAATATGATGCAGAAAACCATTATAATAGTACAAGGAGCAAGTGGCGGACCGCTAACATTAACGGTTAGTTTGATAAAAACGACCACTTAATTAATAACTTGCAATATAATATCGATTTTTAATTTTTGAGGATAATAGTCCTAATATTATATAACTTTAGGATCTTTATTTAATATATTGTGATAATTTTTTAATGAAAGGTGAACAACCCGAGCGGTTTGGACGAGGCGACACTAAACAGCCTTATTGCGCAGGCCACAGAGGCTATAACCCAACAACAGATTATACAGGTTCAATAGCAATAGATGCTTAGCACTTTTCATTTGCTATCCTCTTTCTGTTCGTTGGTTCACATATCTTTTGTCCCTGTCTACTAACAAGTAACACGCTTAGCACGCGATCATTCCATTTCTTTGATTTTTGTTTTTCATTATTTTGCTAACATATTGGGAGACCTATCGCTCATTACTCTTAATTAATATATTGTTAGATTATTATCGATGAAAGTACGAACAATGCTTGGCAATTTTATTTACGATTTTGTCAGTGGCGTAGTATTAAATTTGGTTTCTTGTTGCATATAAAATTATTTTCCTGTAGATTGGAAGTCGATTATTCTATAAGATATAGTTTTATCAAAAAAAAAAGTTAATAGTTCCGAATACGAGAAACGTTTAATAATAATCTTAGTAGATATATGTCCTTCCAAGAAAAATGCAAATGGAAACAATCGGCAAACTTTAGTTAAAAATCTGATATTGCGCGCGGAAATCGTTAGTCTAAAGTTCAATTAAAACCGAGGTTGTCGCCAGCGGATTTGTCAAGGCCCCTTGGAGTACCATATCTACCGTGAGTACCGTAGAGCCTTCTTGTACTTCAAACCCATCTCGTAGAAGTAGGTATGGGAAAAGTATGAGTTCTACGAAACTCTACAATTAATAAAACATAGTAACCGATAAGATATCTTAAGCACTATTTTTACAAATTAGTTAAAAATAAATTTTTCGTTTCTCTAGGGTTGCCCTTAACGCCCTTGATTCCAACTACTATCATTCTTTCGAAATCTCTTATTCTTATATATCATTTTATGTACGCACAACAGACCTAATAAGCGTCTAAGTGCGGAAACTGAGACCACCAACTATGTATCATTTTCATAACATCCAATCACACTTCAATGTATCACATCATAACATCCAATCACACTTCGTTATTTTATGGCTAGAATAGATAAAATAGCACATTGTATGCGCAACTATACAAAACATCTTTCTATCTCTAATGCTATCAATCATTTTTTAATGAATAGATCAATTGAGGGTATTTTTTGTTGTTCTACATTTGACATTAAATTATACAGAACAAGGGTGTGATACAATCAACACAGAGAGTGATTGTGAGCCAATCAGCGTTAGTCAGCACCTCACAACCGATCGCCGTCGTCAAATCGGCCATTGCGCAGGTTTCATGCACATTGTATCGTAGTTTGTGCATGGATATTGTATATAGTCTATTCAATGGTTACCATAGCAACGTGTTGAAATTGACTGCTAATCGAGTGTACTAAATGTTTTTTTAGCGTAGCGTTAGCAATTTGATAGGACTTACTGTAGCCTAAACTCATTGCAAGAGAAAGGTGTTATAAAACTAATATACAATAATATAATTTAAATATATAAATTGTTCGCCTTGCCTTTTCTTTTATTTTACTAAAATCATGTTGCTTCAGTAACCAATTAGCTAAATGAATCAGGAAAATCACAATACACTTTTAAATTATTTACGAAAATATTTTAAGAAAAGTTTGTTGAAGCCAAACGGTGGAGGATATATTAGATATTATTTTTCCTTACGCTTTGTATTTATTTTTGGGATTTCATATATGGCATTTGCTGGTTTCGATGTATCTATGTCGCTTTAGGCTTTTCATCTCTTATTTATGATATTCTAAAAACAACTCAAACTTTTCAGAATTCCCCCCAAATAACGCAAAGTCAGCAACCAATTATAACAACTCAACCGCAACCACACAAGGCGCAGATCGTCAACCAACAACCCCAACAAATAGTTGTTTCCCAAAAACAACCACCTGCCCTAATAAGCACGACTACTGGCAACCCTATTGGCAACCAACAGATTATTCAAGGCAACCAACAGCTACTACAAGGCAACCAGCAAATTATTGCGGTGTCAAATAATCAACAGATTATAGTGAATACGCCCATGAAGCAAAACGTTCATAGAGTTGTGCAACCACAGAGGATTCAAACAACTGTGAGTAATGCAGCTCCGGTGCAGATTGAAAGTAAATCTGTTGTGCAAAGTCCTGCGGTAAGTGTTTTTGATTACAGTTATCCCCCCTATAACGCGACTTCCGTCCTCCATACAACGCGCATATTTCTTACGTTGTATTTCTGTAGGGTGAAAATTATAATGATTTGTCAAGACCATAATTAGTTAGACATTTATGATTTTATGCGTAGACTCGATCATCTGGGATTCTAATTATATAAATTCGAGTTTGAGTTCGAAATAGTTCGGGAAGCTCCTATTTAAACCTATTCAATAATAAACTAGAAAAACAAAATTGTACCTATATTACTTTATCGAATATATTTGTAACCCTTGCTTAGCGTGAAGATCGTTTTTATAGAATCAAAAATTATATTTTCTTTAGAAAACTCAACAACCAGTAATGCGGCAAGTTATAACCAGGCAACCAGTGATGGTTGGAAACACCAAAATTGGGGAAAAGGAAACAGTTGTTTCACAACCAGTCACAGAGGTAATCTTTAGAAGATGTTGATCTTTTTTAAATCCGCATTCATTTGGGCATCTAGTTTTATGTCGTCAGTACAGTGACACTATTCCTATAGAGGTTTAAGAAAAAAAAAATTGATATATTAAATAAGTAATTAAAAAGTAGGAGTTAAAAACTCATTGTCTATGTACAGATAACCTTTTAATATGTTTTTTGATCTGTGCAATAATGAAATCCTTTTCTATAAACTAAAGACAAGTTATTTTATTTTCTATGACTAACTTTAGCAAAAGCCACCAAAGTCTGACCCTACTCCACCACCTCAGCCTACAACATCTCAGAATCAAGAGGACACGCCATGGATATGCCATTGGAAAGGATGTGGCAAGTATGTACATATTTATGAAATTATAAAACAGTAGTATTTTTTAGATATAAATATTAAAGTAAAAAAATGTAATAATCTATAAATAACAATTATTTTACGAAGTAGCTTTTCTCATAGTAATATGTATTTAGAGATGAATTCTAGATGAGCGTTTAATCTCTGTGTTTATTTGAATTCGAACTTTATGTGGATCTCTTTGATATCTATGAAAAACCTTCGATGAATAATCTAAAAGGGAATGGGGGAGGGAAGTGCCTCACTTAACTAATATGAATCCGGCTCGAAGGACCAATGTTAATAAAACTAATACTAAAAACGTATCAGTCAATATAATTATTTTTTTACAGAACGTTTACAAATGCTTCAAGCGTGTTCACGCATGCGGCGCGTACGCATTGCCCGGGGGGTGCGGGGGGTGAGGCACCCTGTATGTGGATCGATTGTGATCGGGTGCCGCGAAAGACATTTGCCTTGTTGAACCATCTCAATGACAAGCATTGTACCCAGCAGGTAATATTTGTTTACCGTCATTGTTTTTAGAATATCCTTTGTAAGACAGCTATTGGCTCTAAATCTATCAAATACGAATAATGTCAACGAATGTCTACGAATTTGGGTTCAGTTAATATTACAATTATAACCTAAAATTATACCTTGTGATGTTATATTAACTTTTTAATTTTAATGGGACATTTTGGATATTTACTCTACTTAATTTTTCAAACGTGTACGATCCTTAGCTCTTGGGTTGTTTTCTTGGAGAAATAATAATTGCTTCATTTAAAAGGCTGTCCAATGAATTGGTTTATACGGTCAATCCTATTGCGGATTTTTTATGGAGCCTAAAATGTTGAACGTTAACTTTTTAACGAGAATAAAATTCCTCAATCTATATCACATAGCATTAAAAAAAACAATTTTAAGGTAAATCAACTTTGGTAAAGTACTACAATTGCGCTGTTTATAATTTTTAATTATTCATTTATCTTTAATTCTTCTTATAATAATTGAGAATGTATTTCTGCATATTGCAATACTGTGAACTGTGAACAGTCCTGGTTTTCATATACAAAAATAACTGAGCTATCTACTTTTTTAACATAACTTATAGATAGCGTTATTTTTACAAAAATATAACTTGAAGTTTGTAATTGAAAATTTCAGGCTCTGAAAGCAATATACAATTCGCGACGTCATGCTGCGGCCGAGCCAGAAGCTAACAAGCCGGTCTCCGTCGCCTATCCACCTAACGCGGCTCTCGCGGCTCTTAATAAGCACGCGACCGACTTGTATAATCCCAGGGAGCTTATGGTCAGTTTGTATTTTTTAGTAAGTAAATAAAAAAAAATCATTCCTGTGAAGTAAAAAAATTGCGGGAATATCTCAAAACTACTGAGCCGATTTTTATGGAGTTTGGGTCTAAGTCGCAATGTAATTAAATTATTAAATTATCTGCTGAAATTTAACACAAATAAAAATTTATACAAATTTATAAAAACGGCATTACATTTTGTTTTGGTTATAATAAAATATAAAATATGTTTAGGTTTTTGTAAAATAATTCCCGTAACCCCAACGGGGCAAGGGGTAGACGCATTTCTGTGTCTATTTTATTGGTATTTTATGTAGACGATGCAACTTCAATTCATGGCCTAATTTAGTTTTTATTGGTTAATAGATTCACACATTGACGTTTTCCGAATCGCTTTTATGAGTAATATATTATATCAGTAATATTTTTACGACTTTGTCAAAATTGGTTTAAAGATGAGAGCGGCTGAGGGATATAGAAACGAGACTTTTGACTGTGTATTTCTCGTTTCTGAATCTTTCCCTAATAACAGCTGCAATATAATAAAAAATATATTATATATTTTTATCTATATTATAATTCAATTTTTCTAAAGTACGAAGAAGTTTATATATTTAAATAAATTGTTACCATTTCAATCAAAAAAATTAAGATATTAAAATATTGGTTTGTGTGCGAACAGCACAAGAACGATCGCGCAATGGACCAAGGGGTGAGGTTTATTGTGTGTGTGTGATGGCTTAAAAAATTAAATGAACATAATATACGTAATTTATTATAATAGTGCATTTAAATGTACGTACATGTGAAGATACGAGAAATGATTGTGGTTTTACAATATCTGAATGCATTTTGTCTTGCTTTATTTTTTGTGTGTTTGTTGTTTGTAACTTAACCCGTTTTAACTAAAAATTCGATTTTGTATGAATCCAATGTTTTCTAATAATATTTCGAGACAAAAGTATACTTTGCATGTCCTGTCAACTATGTGAGCATATATTAAACATTTATTTATTTTTCGAACGTGTACGATCCGTAGCTCTTGGGTTGTTTTTTTAGAGAAATACTTAAAGCTTCATTTAAAGAAGACTGACCAATGAACTCTTTTCGACTGTACTTCATGTTTTTCTCTATTAAATTTTGTCTTAAAAGTTGAGACTGATGGAAATATTTTTTTATGTTCGCTTAAAAATATAATATACTTCAGATTTAAATACTTAAAATTATGTTTTTTAATTGTCGAAAAACTACAAACAATTAACTATCTTGTGCTGGAGTTTAAAAAAGTGAGAAATCATAATTGCGCCCAAATATCTTAGGTTTACGTAAGAAACAAGTTAGCTTGGTCATCACAAGTGTAATGTAAACTATATTAATGAAAATTAATTTGTTGTGAATAGGATGAAAATGAGGGACCGGTGACGAAAAGCATCCGCCTAACAGCTGCCCTTATATTGAGGAACATCGTCATTTACTCAAATACAGGAAGACGGTAAGACTAATACTATAAACGAATACAATTAATTATTTTCTCGCCAAAAATACTTATGATTATGATTTTATTATACAATATACTAAGTGTTTTCTAGGTTGGGCTTTTAAAAAAAAAAATTTTTTTTTTACACAATTTAAATTGTACTAAGTTTTACGTGCTTGATAGTGAAGAACTTTTAAGAGTGTATCAAAATTATTTTTTCGTATGTGATGGTAATCAAGTGTTGGCATTCCAAAATATATCCAATTTATTTATTAAACAAGGACAAACGAGCAGGATGTTCACCTGATAAGTGATATCGCCACCGATGGACATACTACCAGATTTCTCGCGTGTGCGTTGTCGGCTATTTTAGAATTAAAATGTCAGTCAGTTATATAAAATCTTATGAAGCGAATATGGTTAAGCGTCCTTGAACTAAGGAGTTTCTAACAGCCTGTGAAAACTTTTATCAATTATTATTTAAGAAATTTATTCATAGTACTTTTTAATGAATATTATCTCTAATATATATCTTTTTCAGAATGCTCAGACAATACGAAGCCCATCTTGCATCAATAGCTTTAAGCAGTGTTGAAGCATCGCGAACAATCGCCCAAGTCTTATACGATATGAACAATATATGAGAATAGCTTAGTGGGCGAAAGCCCTAAATGTGACTATCTTTTTATGTGTATAAGCCTTAAATATAGTAGGAGAAATTCATTTTTAATTAATTTAAGTATTGCATTTAAATATAAATAGTTTTTGATACCGGAAATTAATAGATACTAAAAAATACTTTTACATACGTACGTATACGTCGGCGTTTGAACGCCGTAATTATATTGTCCAGACTCCACGATGAATTGTTGAAGATAATGACGTCAGCAATACTGTCGTCATAAATTAGTTTGTTGGCACCAGCCATTTACTTTCGACATTAAAGTCCACTTTTAAAGGCTTCTGATTGGTTCGGCCGCTCAACCGAACTAAACACCGCACCAACCAGTTCCCATATATATAGCAACCAGAATTTGTGATAAACAAGTTTCGTAACATTTCGTGTACTCGTTCCACGACAAAACCCGAATCGACCACAGAGTCAAACGGCAGTCATAGAAACGAGTGTCAAAGATTACTTTAATATTTATTATCAATAAGTTTTAAATGTTTAAAGTGATAAATTACTTTTGATAATAATAATAATAATGACTATGGAGTCATTATTATTATCGACCATTGAACAGTCGTTAATTTATAGATCTAGCAACATTGACAAATTAAATAAACCATTCGTATTAACGGCCTCGAACCAATTTGACTTTGACATTATTTAAATGACAATGACAGCTGACACTAACACAATTTCTTCAATATAAATAATAAAGACTACAGACTATCAAATAGTCATTAATTTGCAGATCCATTAATATTGGTAAATAAAATAAACCATGTAACGGTTTTGAACTAATTTGATCCCGATATTACCAATTGACGATGAATGACAATAGCAGCTGATCAACACCATTCCTTAAACATAAATTATAAATGCTATGAATTAACCACAGACTATCAATCCTTAATATTATTTATTATTATCTTGAATATATTTATTTACTCGAATTAAATATCAATCTTTATATTTATGTAACAAAATAATCATTATATATGAGTTTGCGCCCATATATAAATATATAATAGAAGCAAATAAATACTTACTTGAAATAAATACCAATCTTTATGTGTTTGTAAAAATATAATCATTATATATGAATTTGCGCCCACACGGCCATACTGACTCCAGCGCGTCCCTTGCGCTGTTTTAGATTGCTACAACTTTAAACAAGGCATCACTCATTACAAGATCTAGCCAACACGTAAGGCATCACTCATTACGAGATCTAGCCAACACATAAGTCATAAGGCATCACTCATTACGAGATCTAGCCAACACATAAGGCATCACTCATTTCGAGATCTAGCCAACACATAAGGCATCACTCATTACGAGATCTAGCCAACACATAAGGCATCACTCATTACGAGATCTAGCCAACACATAAGGCATCACTCATTACGAGATCTAGCCAACACATAAGGCATCACTCATTACGAGATCTAGCCAACACATAAGGCATCACTCATTACGAGATCTAGCCAACCCATAAGGCATCACTCATTACGAGATCTAGCCAACCAGACCAGGATCAAGGATACGCATGGTGGCCAGCCAGCGTTTTAGGAAGGATGTTTTGGATAGGAAAAATATAATATTTTGTATAAACGCATCAATGCGCATACATAAAATAAACATCATCTTTCGTCATGAAAGTTATATAAATATAATGCAATTACCTAGGTCCAACAACGTCAGGTTAGCAGGAAGTAGAAGCCTACTCACGTAAATCGCTCTGACGAATCTTCCGCCCATACGGTCCATTCGACTGAACTGGTAACTTACCATGACGTTCAAACAATTGCCTCAATTGGTTATTCATCCAACGACAACAAAACCGCCTCGGCCTGCTGACAACTAGGTTAAGGATTATGAAACAGTTCTTCTTATAAGCTGTATAAATGACAGAATATAAGAATATACGGGAAACCGATCTCTCTTTAAAAAAAATAAATAAAAATTAAAACCTACGGTAAAATGGTATCACAAAAACCATGATATTTGTCGTCACACTGTTACGGCTTTAGGGGTTTAAATCAAATTACATTCCTGATGTTCAACAAATAAACGTCAAAAATATTAGAAGGTTCAATTTTAAACTTATATTTACAACTGTGATTTAAATCTCACCCATCGATCCTTCATTATGATGATCGATATAAAATGCTCGCTTAGGTTTTTAGTGATGAGTAATACCCAACAAAATAGAATAAGACCGAAAAGTGGAAAGAAAGAAATCGCTACGTACGGTAGACAAACATCACCCTTTTTTGATGTTTAGAATGTAACTGAGCTGAAGAGAAAGCATTTCGTATTGAGTATTAATACAAAATTTATATTTGTCATAACACTATTATGACTAATCAAATTCAATTTTATGTGTGAACAGTAAACGTCTAAAAATATTGGATGGTACAAATTTATATTGACAACTTTGATTTGAATCTTACTTCGCCATATCTGTAACATATGGAATGTTTATCATGATCATTATAAAATGCTCTCATCGCTTTTCGCGATGAGGAAAATCAAAAAAATACATAAATTGACCGAAAAGCATGTCTAAATATTCAAACTGTCTATCTGGTGTCACGAAAGCAGTTTTTCAATACAGTCTTCTGATAAGTACATTCATGATTCGAAATGTACAGACCTACAACCAATATTCAACCCAGTTTGACATCGATCTTTTCTGTTCATAAAATGACTGTGTGACACACACTCACACACACCGGCTATTTCCGTTAGAATAGTTATAAATTTAAATCTGCTTTTTCATACCTAATTGAAATGTTTTAACTGTTTCGTAGTTTTTATAAATTCATATTTATTCATTTCAATTTTATTCTTCCTATTGTCCCTAAGATATTATGGAATATCTCTAGGTAGATATTTGTTATTAATTTTTTTTTTTTTTTGTAAGCGTAATTTACAAACTTTAATTTTCTTTAAAATACTGTAAATCTTCCTAAAATGTAATAAATAAATATAGGAATTCCGTGAAAGCTAGTTGCCATATCTAGGCAGCTGTAATAACGGGCTTTGCCTAATCTATTAATTTGGTGTGCAATTAAAGGTTAAGGATAATTATCTCTAACCGTATTTGAATTTAATACGCGAAAATAAACGCAATGTCGGTCCATCCCGTTCTTTTTCTCGACTAATAAAATTGAGCTCTGAATGGGGAAGAGCTATCTCTTAATATGCCATATTCCTCTAAATCTCGAATAATTTCCACATTTCCCCTGTACAATTTTATCGGGATTCTGTTAAATCTAATTTTTAGCTCACCGGTTGTTACCCGTACAACATGATTTGACAGAAGTAAAATTATCTTTGGACTCATTGATGATATTGTAGATTTCATTAATCGGTATTTATTTTAATAGGGGGCGTCAGATTTGAACACTCAATAAACTAACGATTAATAGACATATCGTTTTCGCTGAAAGTAACGCTAAGGCCGGGTATTTTTTTTTAAAGAAGATTAAACCGTATTAAAATATCAAATTGAATTTAGTTGTCACCTACTACATAAAACGCTAGCTCTAAAATGACACTATCGATTTCTACCATAGCTGTAATGCTTTGCTTTGAGATAAACTTTTGACCCTCAATGCCCATAAACTGTACGTCAACTTGTTTACGTTTACCAAGCATTAACAATTAAAACCAGCAATGCTTTCTCGAATTAAGAAACGATCTGCACCAGTATAAAAAAGATGGTAACAAATTACCAACAATCACAGTTTTCGTACTACCCTCAACAGATGAACAATAGTTAGTTCATTTATTTAAGGCGTCACGTTCGTCATTTTGACGACGGTAGCAATTTTTCTCGAAGTGATTCTGACGATGACAGTAATCATTCAATAACCTGAGCATTATTAAAAGTGCCACAAAAACTGGAATTATTCTTACTGGATTGTTACTAAATAACATAAGCTTAATTTTTGGGATTTCTCTATGTTGTCTCGCGACAAATGAACTGGTTTATTGCAAGTGAAACAAACGACTTGATCGTTTAAGATACCATAACACGTGACTCATCTGAACTATTTTCGATTTTACGTTTACAAAACGTTTCAAAAACGAATACTTATTTAGTAAGTTAATGGAGGGTAATACTCAGCAACTCAGATCGAATAAACTCATAAATACCAAAAATATAAGTAAATACCTGTGATCATCGCATCATTACCTCGGCGTCGGTAGCTACTGCTCGGATCCTTTGAAAAAGCGTCCATACCGTTGTAGCGTACTTTGCGTAGCAGCTCGCTTGTAGTTGCACCATTTCTGCACGTCATTCACATACCGAAACACGTTGCCAAATGTATGGATAAGCTCCTCCTTCACTTGTTCTCTTGGTTGAATGCAACAACCAGCTGTCGGCCCATGTTTTAACTCGTCCTCGTAACTACAGCATGGCCTTCATTCGAGATTCATGTGAAAGTACCATCCGTTTCGTGATATTTTCGTCCACGTTGGCGCACCAATCTCAGTTCTCGTTGCAGCAGTCTTAATGGAGGTCAAGAGACCCATTACTTGTTACATAACGAAGGTTGTGCCATTCGAAGATTCAGAAGTCTCTTGGGGCTGTTATCCCACCGCTGCTGTCGGCGTTTGAACGCCGTAATTATATTGTCCAGACTCCACGATGAATTGTTGAAGATAATGACGTCAGCAATACTGTCGTCATAAATTAGTTTGTTGGCACCAGCCATTTACTTTCGACATTAAAGTCCACTTTTAAAGGCTTCTGATTGGTTCGGCCGCTCAACCGAACTAAACACCGCACCAACCAGTTCCCATATATATAGCAACCAGAATTTGTGATAAACAAGTTTCGTAACATTTCGTGTACTCGTTCCACGACAAAACCCGAATCGACCACAGAGTCAAACGGCAGTCATAGAAACGAGTGTCAAAGATTACTTTAATATTTATTATCAATAAGTTTTAAATGTT